ATCAGGACCACCCAACCATGCTGTCCAATTCATAAAAGATGCCTGCATTCACCCTTTTTGTATACATGAAAGGGGCCCAGTTGGGCGCATGTGGGTAAATGGCTCACCAGGCTCAAAAGGGGTACCTGAAAATAACAGGGTTTTGTATTGGAGGTCTTTTACAACAGACAGAAATTCCATGACAGGACATTCCTTTGGGGGTTGCAAGGTGGAGGGGCAGGGTATGGACACTTCAATATACCAGTGCAACCTTTAGAGGTACATGTATGGTACATGTACCTACACATGCCCTTGACATAGCTACTGTAGATACACAGTAAATATTTGAAATATTTTCAAAAGCTTATGAAAATATGCCACTGGGTATGAGAGGAACCTGAGATTTCTTGCTTGGAATTCTAAGAGTGGCACTCGAAATGTATCCTGGTGCACATCCTGAGACAGGAGAGCACCAACTCTTGCAAATTACTCTGACCAGTAGAAAAGAAATTGAAACTTTCTGTTTTAGGAGTTGGGGGTTAAGGGTCAATTTAAAGATCAGCCACTTGTAGTACATCCACAGGGAAAAAAAATTGGTGGTAAGAGAATTAAACTGCATATAAAGAGAACAACCCAAGCTTTGCATGTACGTTTGAGTTGCACGTGCACATTAACATGTACATTAACATGTACATGTACCTGTACATGCACCTGCACATGTACAATTGTGCATGCGGGTACATGTAATACTGAAACTGTAGGCCAGTGTGTTGTTAAAGAGGTAGGGAAAAGCTTCAAATATTGCGACATCTAGGGTTTCGGAGGTAGACTGGCCATCCACAAACCAGTGTACATTTAATTTACACCTGTATCTGCCAAAAGTCAACACAAGAGAAACGAGAGGCAATTTCTGTCCACCATCAACTGGGCAGATTTCAGAACCATGCAAGGTCAAATTTTGTGTTGGGTTGATGACGTACATGTACATGTGTACATATACCAGTACATGTAATGGGGAGATAGGCATAACAGGTATGCATGAAGCATGCATGAAGATACATGTAAGCTGGCATTGCTGCGGCCAAAAATGCATTCAAACAAGGAGTTCTGGTGGCGTGCAGAAAATGCACATTAAAAATTTGTCTCTAAGATGCATGATAAACCTAAAATCTTACTCTAGTCTTAGCTGGCCAAAATGATTGTGAGATTTGTTTGAAATGACGGAATACAAGACGTTGAAGGTGGAGTGGAACATACATGTAACTTCTGTGGAATACACATGGAGTGCACTCATGTTCACATGCAGCGGCAACAGACTATGCATATAAAAATTATGCTAGAGAATAACAAGGTCAGTATTATAGCAGAACCCAGACCTGAATCTTACATGTAGGCTGAATCGTGGGCTACCTTGAACATGCATGAGTGTACATGTGAAGCTTCTAGAAAAGACAGCAACCCACATGCGTGCTTGTTTATCGAGTCTACAGTTTTCAATGTGTCAAAGAAAAAGAGATAAACCCGTATCAGGTTCTTCTCGTGAAAGTGAGTGGATTAATTCCTATGAAAGTAACTATAATTTACTTGACGATGAATAAGGAGGATGGCACAGAGCCTGTCAGTGTTGCGGGGCTGCTGTGGCAGTCCCAAAAACAAACCTGGTGGTGGTCCAGCAGCACCATACACCAGCAGCTGCAACATAACACAAGCAGTCCGCGAGGCTTATGTGTCACTTTTCTAAATTTGAAGTGCTTTTGCAGACACTGGATATTTTTTGGATGCAGTCCTCCAAGCATCCTTGGCATATTACTTATCTGTGACAACCAGGAAGGTTTAAAATCTACCCTTAATGCGTTGTCCAGGAACAATCAATTCTACGCATTATTGCATGGAAACCTCGCTACCACGTCTTAAGTGAATGAGACTCCTGTCTGAACTGCACAAGACTGGGATATGTTTTAGGTTATGACCAAAACACAACAAATCATGCACTTAAACTTAATGTATGGAACAATCAACGAAATGTACAAGAACCATATAAGAACACTGCATTTTGAAGATGCTTCTACTACGAGACATGTGAGCGAAGATGCACCGTGTTTACAGCCGTAACGTTTTGGGGTCACCAGCATATACATGTATCATTAATACATAAGGTTTCTGAAACCAGTGGAAAGGGGACATGGAGAACTTGGGAAAACTGTTCCATTTTTCATATTAATTTTGGAAGATGGTCTTGTTACCTCTTGTTTAAAGGTTATAATTGGGGAAAGAGGGTTATCTTTTCCCTAACTCTTTAGCCCTAACTCCCTGGGGTGTGTGCAAAATCATATCAAAATTGGAGGATTCAGGGCTGTTAGGGTTAAGATGACGGGAACTACATGTACATGTACTGTCATGGTACAAAGATGTTCAGGCCCATAGGCTGGGGGGGTTCGAGGGGTTCAAACAACCCCCCCTTCGCTCGCTTTTGAGTTCCGCTTGTTGGTGGTCTTTTTTTGTTCATGTGTACTGAATATTTTAAATATACCGTAATATTTGGCATACAAGCCACGGCATAAACATTGTACTTTGATTCTCAAGCTCAAGGTGAACACGATTCTGCATATTAATGAATCAATCTCTAGTCATACATTTCAGGTGTTTCAAGGGTTTGAAATCAATGTGTTTTTGTTAAGTTTATTCAACATTGAAAACTACAATGCACAAATCTTACATGCAACCTTTGGTTTGCGACATACATGCAACTTTTCAATGTTGTTTTCGAAAGCACATTGTGATAGGCCTTGGTATAAAAATGTGTTCACAGTGCCAAAAGTTCCACTTTTTGGTTTGAAGAAACTTCTCCCACCCCAGTCTCTGGTCAGGCAACAGGCCTGGTGTTTGTATACTGTTGCTAATATGCCAATGCAGAACTCACTAGGCCACCACATTCACTGCAGGCCTGCAAGTACACACAAGTACAGTCTGGGGGCATGCAATAAACACCACTTGGAGAGGATGGCATTGGTGGGCTGAGGTCACATGAGGTCAAGGCAAGGTCATAAAACACCATGGGAGATCAGTTATCAGAGGAGCCTCCATTAGGCACAGTTTATGATCAACCGGAATTCACACTCTCTACTTGTAAAATGTTCTTGATGTACATGTACATACATAATGTGCACCTTCACTGTACAAATGTGTGTCCATGACATGTGCTTTCTGTGTTACCTTTTAGCACTGAAAATGTGGGGTTTTTTTGAGGTGGGGGTTGGTAGGCTTACAATTACTTACAATAAGCAGGTAATGATTAAAATCAGTCTTGTAGCAATCGATGCTCATTGCGCACAAGCCAAAAATAACTCTGTCTCAATGAACAAGCCTGCTTTTTCTTTATACCAATCCTAGCAAGTGCTTAAAGGACTCCTTCGTCCACTGTTTTGAATAGTCTAAAGAAAAAGGTTTCTATGGAAACTACTGCCAAACCCTTTTTCTAGAAACTTCTGTGATGCCACACAAATACCACATACCATACATGTTGACGCAATTCTGTGTGGTAACGTGGTTTGTGGGCCACGCCTACACAGAATTTTGTTCTTCTGTTCAAGGCAGGCTCAAGCTGAGCTGTATAACCTTGCCTGTTTAACTGATGGTTTCAGTGGACTAAGAACGGAAGGCCTTAAAGTTGCAAACCCATTTGTGTAATGGAGAGTAAACTGTACTTTGTACCCGGAAAGGTCAGACCCTGTCCAAAAGGTACAAGGTGCATGGATGGGGGTCAGGTTATTCGCCTTCAGGCTATGCCATTCAACAGAACAAGTTGGCAAAAGAAAAACTGGCATGGGAAGCAAGGAAGCTAAATTCAAAGTCATGTGCAGATTTAAAACTGGGTAACTGCCATTTCAAGTTGGAGAAGCAATTGTTGTCTAGCGTAATAACAGAGACAGTAACTCCGAAATGATGCAATAATCATTCATCTACTCTGCAAAAACAGTATTGCATACACGTTGGAATGACATTACAGAAGAGTAACTACACGTAGATGTCAAACAAAAGCAAGGGATAACTTGCTACCAACTGTTTCAAAACTTGGAGCTTTTCTAGTTCAGCACAAGCATGATTCATGGCACTGTGCCAAGAACTTATCTGGGGGCCCAATTCAGTGCATGCTCAATGTATAAATGTACCAGTGCTTGGTTACATACATGTAGTTTCCAGACAGTGAGTTATTATACGGGACCCAAAAATGTTTGAGGGGTGGCATTTGGAAGAGTGGAAGTTCCCATTACTCACTCCAAATTTCCCGACTAAATATCTTTTCTATCCCCGCTTCTGGCCTACGCAATGATTCACATTCATCCTTCGGCCAATCAACTGGAAGTCCTGCCTCATTATTGGCAGACAGAAATTGACACTATCAACAAATTACTTTATTTGCTGCGTACTGTTTTTCCTAGAGATAACAAAGTCATTTTCCATGTTGCTGTCTGGTTATACCATCCGTTGCTAGTAGTTACTGAAATTTACTTAAACAAAAAATTTGGTTCCCACATACTGATGAATTCTTAAGAAAAAGTTCAAGGGAGGTAGAGATTACTCAGTCATTTGATTATGATTAACCCTCAACCCTATGCATTTTTACTGGGATGCAATCTCCAGTCCGGCAGAATCTTCCAACCATGCAAACATTGGATACAGCCTCAATCTTCCAAAATCCTCCATTATTTCTTGAATTTTGGCTGCTGCCTCAAACCTCTAAAATCCTCTCGCACTTCCTGTCTGTATGTCATGTCGAGGCCGTGTGAGTTGTACTTTAGAGCAGGATGCTTTCTAGTACATGTATAACACAAGCTGCATCCATCGACTTTAACAAAATTCATCCGTCAAAACCAGCCACTTATATTTTGCAACACAGCCCCAGTAAGCCCCCAATCCTTCAAAATCTTACGCAAGGATCTCTGAGGATTTCATAAGGTTTGGGTTAATCCATCAGTGAATCTGCCGATCAACAGATGGGCCATTCCATCAATTCTTTTTACCTTATGTGAAGTTCAGCTTGCTCTTCAACTTGCGTTAGTTTTCCTGATAGCGACTCCTTCTGTTCTGTGAGTCTTGTGATGTCATCATCCTGGAGCTGTGTCTTTCGGACCAGGTCGTCCTTCTCTGCTTCAGCCTAGAAGAGCACAATTCAAGAAGTGTCAGTACAATGCCCTGCTAACGTAGTTGTGGTCAATTCACCTGTACACGTAGCAAAGTCAGTCCCACTCTAAAGCATCTGAGCTGGGTACCCAAGTGCCCAGGCTCCTACGTATGTCCGAAACCAGTTCCACATTATGTCTACATGAAGGTACTCACAACCAACATTAAAAAGTACTTAGTATCCTCTTGTTGATAAAAAGAAAGGGTTTTGAAAGTTTTAGAAGAAACTGATTTAGAGAGACTACTACATGTGTATGCATTTCAGTAACTTTCAATAATAGTGCATGCCTAAATCAGAATTGACAACATAGATATATGGACAGCAAGCAGTGTTGCTATGTACATTAATAAACTTGTTAAATAGGAGCTTTTTGAGGACAAAAAATGTTACAATTACATGCATTAAAATTTGTTTTTTGAATTTTGATCCTGGAATGGCTACTGGTCCAAGCTCCTGGGTACCTTTGTTTTGTTTTATTTTATAGGGAGTCTGGTTCCTGTACACCCCCTATACACACAACTGTACACGTACTATCTACGAGCTCGCAGGGCAACTTTTCTCCACACAGGTAAAAAATTCATCTAAGGTTGTCCCAAGTTTAAATGCATCCATGAAATCCACCTGTGACCCTTGCCAACCAATGGTAAAAGTTTGCTCTGACAAGGATACAGGTACATCTTATCAAGCTGAAGTCTTCATGCTTCTGAACATACACAAACAATTATGCACACATGCTCAATAAAGTTTTTTAAAAATAATAAAAAATAAAATTTTATTGGTCACAAATGTATATATATGTGAATTAAATGTCAACAAGTGAAAAACAAAAACAGGGGTGTGAGTGGTCACCTACAATTGAAGCTGAAAACGGCTAGCAAAAAGCTGAAGTGTAAAAAGTCCGCGTACCTTTGTACAGACCAGGTGTACAAAAAAAGCTGAAATTCAGGGTCAACATCTAAACAAAAAAAGCTGAAATCAGCTAAAGAGATAAATTCTCACACCCCTGATAAAAGGTGGTACTAAAAACAAAATGTATACACTGCAGGTTGCCTACGCCAGTCTTTTAATTAACAACTGGTTGGTTAAGTCAGCTGACAAAATTTGCCAGACAGATTAATGTCAAAGCAGAGGGTTAACCCCCCAAACAACAAGCTATTTTATCCAGGAACCTTAAGGAAAATGTACACATGCAATGCAATGAAAGGAGTTCCTTTAAATTGCCTTAAGCGGGTCATGCATGCCCGATACTGTACAATGAAGTTATGCATGCCCAGTTGCAGATTCTGTATGCATGACCTTCATCCTTCCCGAATCCTAATATCAGTGTACACTTTGGACTTAAGAATGGCATGGGCTGAGCTTACTCATGTACTGATGTGCACAATGCCCCAGTCTGTTAGGGAAACACATCACATGCCCAAGCACAAAGCTTACTGCTTTCGGAGCAAGAAGCCAAGCAGCTGCAAGAACAAGTAGGGTATACGGTGCACAGTCGAACATGGGCTCTGACCAGACAGAATTACACAACAAGGAATATAACCTTACTGAAATAACAGTGTATTACAAAAACGGAGAAAGGTCACAATTTATCAAGAGTTTAAGCTGCATTTAAATGCAGATGGACTCCATCAGTTTTTCAGTGACATGTAACTGTACACGTACATGTACACATCTGAAGCAACTTCAAGTACACTTTTACACCCCTGTATATTAATTCTGAATGCATGCATTTCTGCAGGTTAAAACTGTTTCTTAGGTAATACATGTAGGGGTTCTGAGAGATATTTTAGAAAGGAAAATCAGGTTCCTTTACATCAAGAAAATGATGCTATTAAAAAGCTTCAGTCCTTGGCAGCCATTGGTTGCACACATCTGTAACAAACTACTGTCGCTGGACATTGTAAAATGTACATTTTGTTCTCTACGCTCTAGGTAACTTTCTAGACCCAAGCTGCATGCTCATCATTAGTCAAATTGCTAAAGAACCCTCTGGTCTGCAGTACATGTACATTAAGTACTTTATCAATTCAATCCCTTATTAAGTTATGGTAATCTCTGATCGTGACAGGAACAGTTTAAGTTAAGGTGTCCAAGACAAACAACTGAAGAAAATGACGAAATGTGTGCTGCACAAGGCATCCATACGCTTCTCAGCTGTCAGTAACTGACCCACTCGAATTCAAACCCTACATACAAAAGGCCCTTTCACACAAACAGTGGAAACATATCTGCAATGTTGGGTGCTGAGTGTGTCGCAAGGGCAGGCTTTCACATTGTTCAACGCAGCACGTCAGCGAATGTCCCTCGTTATTTGCAGCATTTATGAGTACATTTATATCGCTGGATTGTAGTGATTTTCCTGCCATTTTATACACCCAAACGTCTTTGCAAGTTTCAATAAACATTTGTGTGCGAATTCAGTGATGTCAAAATACTATTTGCCTGTTGGAGGATGCTTTAGATATACCCGTCTTCTGGATTTCGTATCTCGATTTCTTGACAGTCTTGGACATTTTTCGCTTGTCAAACTCACACTTGCACATATCAGCAGCAGGAATTTCACTGCCGGTTAGTAATAGCCTTGTTGCCAGTGCCTAGTGTTGCATGTAAATGTACATGTATACATGTAGGGGTTTCCAATTTATAAACAGTGAAAGATGGAATGTTCTATTCCTCTCAGCTCTGCCTCATGAAATAGAACGGTCTGTCACCTCATGAAATTATTCTTGCAATTCCACTCACAAACATTATTTATATTATCTACATATCATATGCCAGTCTTTTACAACATAGGCCCAGTAACCATAAAATTTATGCATATCTATGTATCACATGATATTCCAAAGAACACGTTTTTACTTTACTAGCCCACAAATGACAGGGCTTGTTACTGAAGTCCCAGTACTTTTTAGGCCTACCAGTGTACATGTACACTTCACGTTTTGTCATATCAGGCACTGATCTTTGTTGAGGTTATGATTTATATCATCAAGGATTTATCTTACAAAGGGAAAATGTACACCCAAGGACAGCCCAGTGGGAGTTGAAAACGCAAGCCGTTGAGGAAGTTTTCGATACGGAAGGCAGAGAGGATAGCAGGTTATTGGGGCGCCGGCATGTACATGTACATGTACTTAAGTACGGTTGACAAGCAACGCGCGACTGGCCGCGTACACTGAATTAAACACACACGTCGCGTACCGTATGCTCTGACTCGCTGGCGGCACTCCCACATGGCAGCCATGCCACTTGTTTTCGTCTACGATTCACGGATTACATTGTGTGTGTATAGCCATGTCGATTAAACGGGGTACCCCATCCTATGCAACACTGAGCAGACGGCGCGCACAAGAAACTCTACAGACACGTTTTTCGTGCTGAACCAACATTTTTCATGACAGCTAGGAACATCTACAATATTGCATCCTGCCCCTACTCTTTTCATCATCTATCACCTCAATTAAGAAAGGTCAGTCCCTGAAAAAATGCCGAAAAGACATGAATGTCGGGCCATGCTCGGACTGAGAAAAATTCAGATTTCGTTCCCATCGACTTTGTACACAAACGTCCGAATATGTCAGGTTGCAATACTCTCCGTCGGGGCCAAGTTTAACCTGAGCCTGGCTATCTGAAAAAAATGCCCAACTATCTACGGACGAGGAAAACGAGGCATCAAAGGTGTTTTTCTCGTGCAAAGCCACCGACTCAAAATCGGCCAAATGGTGACAAGGCCACTTGGTGACGAACACGGATTCTCTATTCGGTGATAAAATGTTCTTTCACCTTATGGTAAAATGCATCCGATTTTCTATCAAAAGTTTTGAATGTTGCACAAGGTGCTTATTACGACACGGTCGCGGAGAAATGCTAATTTTATAGGTGCCGTGGGGGCTTTGCGAGGCACCCAGCACTAGGACTTTAATCAATTATGAAATCCGATGTAGGTGTCACCATACTCTCAATTGGAAGGCGATCGGCAAACCTGTGTTTTCCACGTCTGCATTACCAAACGAAGTCGCATCTTAATTACGATTATGATCGACGTAATCCATAAATTCCAGGGATGCAACTTTCAAAAATTACTCTTCAGATGTCCTCAGATGGCAACGAATCCTAGAGAGATACTTCGGTGGGTTAAATCAATCAGTAATTTTTTCACAAAATATGCATAATATAATAAAATTAAAATTGAATGTCGACCATGGTCAGACAGACCACACGTCACGTAAAACCATAGGTCCAATTTAAAATCTACGTTGGGGAAAATCATAAAGACACATTTAGAATCAGACGGTTATCTTACAATTTCCAACTTCTGTTTGAACTCCGCGTTAAGTCTCCTCAGTTCCATGGCCTCTTCCCTTGCGACGTCGGCTTCTTCCCTCAGCTTAGCGAGCTTTTTCTTTATCTGCTCCATTTCGCCTTGCTAGTTGATGTTTCTCCGGAAAAGAACTAAGCACTAGTAATTATAAATCCCGAAGTTCTGGGATACAATTCCAGACCTGTGGCGGAAAGCAACGGCCTTAGGAAACAATTGCTCTCAGGGCGCAGCGACTGAGAACGTTACGGGCGGTTTTCAGGCTTCAGCCAGACAACATACACGACATATACATGAACGCCAGCGACACTCCCACATTACAACGGCCACTTGTTTCATACCCCGCACACACGGCCCGGTACCATATGATATACATGTACACGTAATGTGCATGCACCTAGCCCGTTCTGAGGTCGCACCACTCCACCATAACCACACAAGCGACAATGCTATTTCGAGAAGGGGTACCCAGCCCTATGCCACAACCAATGTACGGATCACTGCTTCTCAATAGTCTCCCATTACTTCCTCACTCAGGGTCTCGAGATTTTCACAATAGTAAGTAATTTCTTAGGGATGGCAGGGCATTAAATAAGACAGGAAATTGAACCCCGATTTTCCGTCCGGTCGTCTTAGGGAACAAGTCAAGTATATTGCAGCGAGGATGAGCAGCGACCAAAAGTAGGCATTGTATGTAATAACACTTCAGCCCTTCTTTTAAAGCCTCCATAAGCACGTATTTTATTTCTGACCGTAGCCAACTATTGTGGATACGGACTGTTCTGCTTTGAAAAATTAATTTTGAGCCCATCTGCAGGGTTTGAAGGGTGGAGGAAATCACACAAAATTCAACATTGTAGTAAAGTAAAAGAAAATAAAAATTCCATTTTTATCGAAATGGGCTAAACTTCACACAGCTGCTCATCAGTAATATTGTCCTAGCAAGATCCCCTCGTCAGAAAATATTTAGCGGCACTTCGTAAGTTCGTATCGACTGCCAAAAATCAACTTGTCTTTAAATGCAACCCGATTATAAATAGGAGGAGTGCCCCCGCGCAAGGTATTTCACGATTGAGTCACTGACCCCAATATCCCGCCACTATGCGACAAACTACTTCGCATTCCTCGTTACCCTGTATATACCCTTTCGGAAAACATGACCACAAATATACACTTTCAAAATTTAGCATTTCCAAGTATCAAACCTTTAGATAGCTTTCTAATTTTCAAAAAGAGGTATGTGAATATCAGGTTGGCGCGGAGAGATACTAACGAAATGAATCGTGTGACCGGTGTCATGACAAAAACTGTCCGGTGCCAAAGAGTGTCCACTCATTAGCATACTGCAATCTGATTGGTCCTGCTTACAGAAGCGTGTTAGCTTGTCAAAGCGTGTGTTGGTTCGCGGTCTGTGTCAACCCGTAGAAAAGATCACTACCGGTATTCATTTAAATTTACCTTTCATTGTTTGTTTAAACGCTTTCCTTTTTATCTAGGATTGCTAAGGATTGGTAGAATTGTCTGACTATAACTTTTGCTGAAGACTGAAGAGTGAGTAAGCAAGTTTAATGAGTAAAACTAATGGCGGCTGGAGGACACAAGTGTTGATGTTCCGTATGCGCGCGCCTAAAACCGTTCTTTCGTTGATGTATTAACTTTGTTTCGTCGACCTATTCTTTTTATGGTCGAAGCTCATATGACTGAAATAATCTTCATTTGACCTGACATGCTGTAGTTTCATACGTGGAGTAAGTGACACCGACGTGAGCGTGACACTTTAAGAATAGATTTTTTTTTTTTCAAAATGAATGAAAGACGTGCATAGCGCCAGCGAGAGAGGCTGAGCGTTTCCGTAATATACGGCATCATTACTAATTATAAAAACTTACCAAAACAAAACAAGAGGAGGAAATCTATCCGGAAGTATACAAAATGCAATTATTTGAAAATTACTCGAAATAAATTTTAGCCATCTTTATGACAAAATCGAACATTTTAAACCCTTTTAACTACAAATACACATGACATGGAAATGCAACACGGTTTTAGTGCTGAGAAAAACATCAAGCTTCAAACTGTTGATGTACTTCCTTTGATGCTCAACTAAAGAAATAATGTCTCCCAACAAGATTGGACGAGGCGCCACAGGTTCATCCGAATCTTTACTGTCATTTCCTGGCGTCTCACAGGAATAAATAATTTGTCCCCCTGACCCACAGCTCTGCACTGTGACCCTCACTACCGTGCCGCCCATGCAAATTTTGACATTTCGTAAAATCGACACAAGAGGGCGCTGTTGCGGACTGCCTCGCACACGTCATGGCCGTTTTCCATGGCCGTTTTCCAACTTCGGCTTCGTCTCAGGCTTCAACTGTTTTTTTTTACTACCTGACTTTGAAGCTTCAAGCGCACTAATTAGTCTAATTGTGCCACAAAATATCAAATAAGATGCAAGAGAGCAAAAACTTACAGAAATCCAATTTGATTTAAACGCTTCAGGTCCACAATCGGGGATGGGTTTCGGGGACGAACTTGAGACGGTGACGAAGTTGAGTATTTGAAAAAATTAATGCAGTCAGGACTGAGTGTATTTTGAGAGAAACACGAACTTGCACGCAGAATATTTCAGACCTGTGTAGACATTTCGAGCATGGGTAGGCAGGCCTTAGGGTCATTACCCTGGCCGACTTGAAATGTTTGATTGTCCAATGTTTCAGGTCCCTCCACAGCCCTTCTTCCCGGGCCCTGACCCCATCCTGTCCCAAGCCTGAGCCACTGGGTCACCCCTTCCCTCCCTTACTTCCCATATTCCACTTTACACGTCCTTCGATATAACCTATAATCATTTTTCTCATTTACTGTAGTATCTTTTTCTCATTATTTTTGAATTTGATAAAATTATGTTCTTTGATATGCTTGTCGTTGTAAACGTATTTCTGTATGCGTTGCCGAATGAGTAATAACGCAAAAAATGGTGCCACTTTGATGTATCGCACTTCAGTTTCCAGTTGAGAAATGCAAAGTCGCGAGCACAACAATCCAGTATTTTGGAAATGGAGCGGCGTCTTAACTCGGTCTGTCTCATATCGTAACTTTCTCCACGTGCGGCTCAGGAAGCGGTGTGGAAGTTAAACGCATGATAATAACACTGTATCACTTTCAACAAGAGTCTCTAAACGCCTGAAACAAACATAAAAAACAACCTGCGAGAAGCAACATGAAGGAGCCTTCTACTTAGATTAAACATTAGAGTTATTAGATCAATATCAAATAAATAAAAGCACTTTGTTCTAAAGTTACTTCCAGTGTCAAGTTAAACAGGTTGATGTGAATTCAAGATCATTTGTAGACAGTAGCAATTTCATACTTTTTAATAATTTACTCTTAAAGTACCTTTGGCAATTTGGAAACTTCTGTTCATGCGCTGCGTTTAGGTGATTTCCTAGGGCCTTGATTATAATGTTGGCAACGTTTTTGCAAGGCTAGTTGCAATGTATCACAGACTTAACGATAGGTCATCAGGTAGTCGTATTCTCTCTCTGAACTTCAGTCGAAATCCATCAGCACAGCTGTATTTGTGGTTTGTGACGTAACTGGCTGAGTTTCAAATATTCATGGGACTGAATGGTCAATCATCCACAAGTTGAGGACGAGGCAACAAAAACGGGAGAAATACATGTGGACCGTGGAGATCGTGGCGTGGACGCAGTGAAGAACAAAGGCAAGTTTAAAAGTATCATGACTTTTTCGTAATATTACCGTCTTAAAATTAAGAGAGCACTGTTGCAAAGTTGTGGAATACGAAATAGACAGCAACATTTTTGTCTAATATTACTTCATTTCACACGTAATACAAGCTATTTTGTGCAATACTACTTGTTAAATGTAGGCCCTACCTGTTCCAATTTCGAAAAAGTTCTGTTATGTTTTATTTCAAGACGGGCAGAAATGAAAGAAGATACGAGCTGCGACGAGACACCCATGTTTCCTTGACAAGTAGAAGCCATAGGTATTTGTCACGCATCGATTTTGTTAGTGTTAGGTTGTAAAGTGTCGGTGTAAGTTCCAACTTTCAAGTCATATTTAAGCGTTTGTTTCCACCATCTGTCAGTCTCGTTAACGTTTGGTTCAGCCTGGTCGTGAATGTACACACGTGGCCGTGATTTCCTGTGTTCCATTTGCTGTTTACGTAAGGGGTTTGCTTTAGTGGGATTGAATGAATGGAAACATCATGGAATGTTCGTGTGTGATCTTGGAGGTTGTCGCCGAGGCCCAGGGAAGAATGTGACCACAGACGCATACATTTCAAGATTCAAATAACCCACTAAATAGAATATGTTGAATGGGTTGATTTCGTCCATTTTTACACCTTGGCTAATTGAGGTTCTGGTTTCGGCTTCATTTGTGCTCTTTTACCGTAAGTCAGTCTTCAACATTCGGAACCTGCAAAGACAGAGTCCAAACCTGGCTGTAAACTTGCGTCAGACCGTTAAGCCAGCATTTTACTGCAATTGTGTGGATTACGAACCTTTAGACTCCAGTGATACAATTTTAGAAAAAAGTACCCAGGGTGTTTTTAGTCTTTTGAAAAAAACAAAGCAACAATCTTTGTTTCTCTTTCCTCTGACCCTGGTTAACTGTGGGGGAATTAATTTTCCCGTCCTCCGACCCTGCTTAATGCAATAAATGAAAAAGTGCTGGCCATATAGATGTTTCCGTCCAGAAAAAAGGGTCAACTATTGGGCCATAATCTCCGGAGACAGAGACCCAAAGTAAGCCTGACGTTTGAGGAAAGTCCTAGTCTCAAACGTTCCCCTCTGGGAGCGCTCCCCGACAGCCATGCACGAAGGATCATGATACTCACCGCAGACTGAGCCTTCTCTGCCTCGGCCAGTCTGGTTTCGTTGGTAGTCAGCTTGTCTTGCACCTGATCCAGCTCGGCTTCGATCGTCTTGATTTTCGACTGCAGTTCCTTGATCTCATCTTGCGCCTGAAAAAGACAGAATGCACCTAAAAATTAATTCACGAGCCCATTTCAAAGTATTTTTCCACAAAAATGTTATTAAAAGGCAGATTTGGGGCTTGATATTAATGTTTCCCAGAGCTAGCTGTTTGCACCTCAGTGTTTCTGGAAGTGCAGTTTATGAATTCTGCGTTATTTTAAACGGGGGCCCGATGAAAACTGTGAAGCAAAGTTTGTAAATGAACCTCTGTAATATTCAATTTTCCATTCACAGGGCACGTGGATGCCTTTTTTGTGTTAAGCTATCGTGTTAGGTCAATCCAAGAAAAAAATCTTCATTTTTACAGATATTCAAACATCAATATTTAGTAAGATATCTTTTCTTGGCCGATTCGTTGTTATTTCAGGTTATGACTGTAGGCGAGTGAGTTCGAACAGAAAACCCTGTTAAGAAACTAAGGCGCCATACTCAAATTACACCAGCTACAGTAGCCTCATTATTGTGGGGAAAAAAGATTAATAATCGAAGACGTGCACTTTTCAACAAAGTTAACTAAAAGCAGAGTAAACTTTGCCCGAAATGTGTTGTCCAGTAACCTTCGCGTCGTATGCTCTTAATTGTATAAATGCACTTTTGGACAATGTAAATGAGGAACTTTTTTTCAGTACTCGGTTCTGTGCACATAATGCGTAATATGAAGCCTGTCTGATCTCATTAAAGAGTAAGTTCGTAAGTAAAAGCTGTCAAAATCTTTTTTTTTACAAGTCTCGGTTGTCGTCTAGAGGAGGGTTTACCAGTCCTTGCGTCATAAAGGCGACGGAGGCCTTGAAAGCACTACCAGCGAAACACAGAAACGTCTTTTGGGACTCTTGGTGCAGCCGTGCCCCCTGTCAAATATTTTCCTTTTTTAATTAACGCTTCAGATTTACTTAAGCCGTGCTTTTGTATTTCGTTTGCTTTTGTTTTGTGTTCGTTTTCGCTATCCAACCCGAACTGACATGGTTATCACACTTGGTTTTATTGACGTAACAAGTTTTATTTGTCTCTTATCCGTGAAGCAGGAAAACGCCCCTCGCCCACAGTGGTCATTGTAATTTGCTATCTCTTCTTTTTTTGTTTCCATGTGAAAGCACTCTTTTTAGGGGGGGGCGTAAATAGTTGACTGGTAGTGTTGAGCGTGTCAGGGGAAGCGGGTTAATGTAGCCGTTCTTTCTCTCTCTAGACCACTGAGGCCCGGGTTCGAGTCCCGGCTTGGCCCAGCCCAGGCTTTATGTGCGTTTGGTTTCTAGTCCATACTCGCTCTCACGGGTTTTCTCCAGGTACTCCGGTTTTCCCCGCCTCTGAAACTGGACCGTCTTTCTAACGTCCGTAACGTGATGCTGATTAATAAAGGTTATGGATAAACATGTAGTTATTGGCGCAAACAGCCCGAGTAGCTGAAAGCACCATTAAAACAACAGCAACAAGTTGAGTGTGTTAAATTGATTTTGGCATTAGATGGAGAGAGTTGTCTGAGAGTGTCCGATTTATCAAATGTTGTTGGGTTGTTCCCTACCGAACCGACAGGCGAGTGGAGCACAGCCACCGCTGGTACAGGCTAAAGACCCAAGAAGTAAGCGTATAGTTACGGCGGCACTCTCCGCGAATTGACCGGTCTTCGCACGGCGTCAGCCTGAAGCCTAAGTGATGTTCTCCTCCCCGAATTACTGTAAGTTTTACACCAGTATAGTTTTCTTGGTAATTGCTTGAAACTGAACGAGTTCATCATGATATTTTCTACCTGGTAATGTTCCGATTCGATATTGTGGAATGACCTTAAAAGTCCAGCGGTCATTTTTGGAACTTGTGTTTGACACGATATTGAGAGTTTACTTATGTGTCTGATCCAGAGGATCAGAGAGTTGTAGTCTTTTCGGTTATCTCAAATTATAATCTCAATTTAATTTACCTTTTATATTCATATTAAAGAAATTTAATGTTTAAGTTATATCTACTCGTCTCAATTCATGATAGTTACGTTTCTCGAAGGAAACTTTGTGACAACCCTTCAGCAGTGCGACAAAGGGACAGGTTGTGCCGTCTCTTGAACGTTATTGGCGGTATGGTGGGCGCAACGCCCACGCAAATTTAATACCAAACTGTAAGGGTTTTTCATGCCTTTCGTGGGAAACCTTGGGCGACCGTCGAGAATATCAACAAAACACCAAAGCTGCTAATATAAAAAAAAATCCTTATATTTCACTCTTTTCCCACAATGAAGCGCTATTACATTAATCGGTATCGATGTTTCTGTAACTTATTACTGACAAATTCCTTCAGTACGAAATTACGCAGGCAAAAAATGCTTTACTGCCAGCATAGGAAGGCACAATTATCAGAGCTGTGCCAAAAGCACCTTTGTCATCCGCGTTTCGTGGCTCCCATGTCGGCCAAATCCTTCCTGATGAAGCTTCAAGTATATTATATGCACATCTATCGGGCAGAAAAATGTACCGACGGTTTGTTGCTTATGAAGTCTTGAAGCCATTCCAGATATCTTCAGACAGCTTCGGACACTGCATTTTCGATGCTTCGATCAAGGATGCACGGTCTTCATTTGGAAAAAAAAATCATAATTGTACATGTGCCCCCCCCCCTGCACGCCAGCCATGTTGCTCTGTGGTGCTCGAATCTAGGCAATCAATCAGCACCGTTACTAGATTGTCCAACCGAACTTGAAAGAGACAACAGTTATAACACACCTGCCTTCAAAAGCAAAGAGACAAGATTAATTATAAATTACAAATAACTGAATAAACAAAAGAGCCCATTTAGAATTCCTTCGCTTGTATTGCATAGATTTTTTCCTATTGTGAATTCGAATGATCATACTTACCGCTGAAAGCTGTTGTGAATTGAAAAGTCCGAACATGGTCCGAAAGGCAATTTTTTAAATTCACCAGTGAATAATGCAAGCACGCCATTTCCATATACATTAAACAATTGAATTATGGACCTGAAAATGCATGGTCAAATTATTAGGACAATGAGCGATGGTCACAAATTTGGCTGGCTGATCTATAAACAAAAAGTACATGAAAACAATGAAGATGACCTCTGCAACCTTGCACAGCAGTGAGACCTCCCTTGAAGGAGAAATTGAAAAGCAAACGCTGGTCAAGATTTAAAGAAAAGCAGAGGTTGGGTCAAGAAAATGTCCTTTTGTGTTTTTCATTTCATTGTATATGAATACAAAATTCAATAGCAGAAAAGAGTGACGGCTTTAAAAGTCGTCAATGAAATTTTGAAAGCGATCGGGAGCCAGTAAACAGTTTTAAGGCAGAATTTCTCGTTTCTTCATTATCTTATTGTCAAATCGACAAAGAAACCTAAAATCCAAGAACAAAGTGAAGGATGCTGTTATATTTCTCACACTAAAATCAGCGAGTTCATAGCTGTGATAAGACATGAAGCTCGATCCCAGAAAATGAGAACAGCTTCGTTCAAACAGCCGTTGTATTCTATTTATTTGGGCATGGAATGTGGATTGGTATGCGCGGTATGTGCCTCGTTTGGGCATACCCTTGCTTCATATAATCAGGACACACGACTAGTAGTAATGGGCGGGTGCGAATGCGACGACCGTTCCGTGTCTCTAACACAATAGATCACTAAAAATAATTAATACACGACATTTTATGGATTTAACTTCTACAGATCTCCAGATTAGATATGGTTGTGGTTGAAGGGAACAATAGAAATTTTAAAACAGTTTTCCTGACAATGTTCTCTGCACAGTTATTTTGTGATTTAGACATTTCTGGGCAATACAATTTACTACAATATAGTAGAAAGAGAATAAAAGGATCAAATCTACTTTCGTATTCCTTGAATTGATCAAAACATATAGCAAGGTCAAAATAGCCTTACAAGTAAAACCTAACCTGCTTTGAAAATCTTCCCCCTTATTTCTGTCTCTTTTTCATTAACAGTAAAGGCTCTCCCCTGACTTGGGGAAAAAAAGTTAAATGACAGACTAGTACGAAGTCAAGTCCAAAGGCGGGGCACTGCCACGGCATTTTTGTCTGGCAGCAACTTTCACTTGTGCATTTACACTTTGTTTTGTCTTTCTGGAAGTCATGGTTCTCTTCAGCGGACTTGGCTGACTGGAATGGGCCCAGAAAACACTCAGGGAGAAAGCCAGGAGGCCAACCAAGGATCGAGATCCTGAATGGTGGCAGACAGCTCTAAGCATAGAGCATGAAACTTGCTCTAATCTCTAAGGAAGGAAGTTGTCGTGAGTCATAAAATAATGTGGTCCGGACACGGTGGTACACGGGTTGTTGTAAAATGTACAAGACGAATTCGCCTGGTGCCCTTAAATAGCACAGTCAAATCGTGTCAGAACTAATCACCTCTGTTCAATTTGTCATCTCTAGTATCGAGTGGTTTAGCCCTCGACAGATACTAATCCTGGTAAATTTACTCAGGCAAATATTGCAATGTGTACCAGATCTTCTGGTGGTGTTGAGTTTGAGCTAAGACCAACTTGAAGATTTACTTCAACAAAAGTCCTGGTTGTCAAGTTTGGCTTCAGTCGGGATGATGGTATTTCTACTTACCACCTCCTCTCTCTCGAGGGCTGCCCGCTTTTCGTTCTCCGCCGCATCCCTTGCATCCAAGGCATTCTCCTTCTCCTGCTTGAGAGCCTGCATCTTCTTCTTTATGGTCTCCATTTTGGCAGTATTTGTTCCAACCTCCTTGTTTGCCTTCCGAAAAGAGCGAGCACCGTGCTAATGGCGTCGAATCGAGTGGAGTGTGGAATGTAGTACAGCCGGCCTACCCCCGATCAAGGAACGTGGAGGAAAAGACGGACCGCCGCAGTCTGTGCCGTAACCTTCTCGAGTGCGAGGAATGTCAGGGGTGTTCTTGAACCCAGACAGTACCGGGGAAGTTTTTGCACGATCTCTGCACAGATTACCTCAGCGAGGAAGAACTCTGCGGTTGCGCAGGGCCTCACGTGGTACATTATCAGCCAATGGTGAAGGCCGGTCTCTGAGGACCTTTTCTGGCACTCGGTGAATGAAGGCATTCGTAGTATGACGTATGGCTTGATAGTCTCAGACTGTGTTGGCACTACGGATATACAGGCCGCCATATAAGGGATTCCCTTAGCTTGCGGATACAGCTCGCGCACACTTCCAATATTTGCTTGTTTGAAGTTGTTGTGTGTAGAATGATAATTGGTTTAATCCGAAGCCCGCTCTGCAGTTGATTTTTTGTACACATTGAACACTCGGTGGCTATGGCTTATTGGAATGAAATTAAGTTGAAACCGAAGATGTAATTAAACCTCGATCAAAGAAAATAAGACGTTTTTCAGTTTTCATAGCTTGCAGGCAATCGAATTTTTACAGCTTGAAAAATGATTGATTGTTACACGTGTATACCTTAGCTAGGCCAAATTAAGCAACATTGAGAGAAATATTGGGCCCAAATGTCATATGGATTACTAATTATAAGTCAACGAAGACACTGTTTACTCTTACCTTTTGAAAAGTGACACACTCGGGTTGCCTGTAATTATGTGTCCTCCTGAAAGACATACCCTTTCGGCAGCAAATGCTGGAGTTAGAAATTTAAACGGAAACAGTGTTTTATACTAAAAACGTGAGTCTCGTATAACAGTGGCACATTATTCAATTTTATCTCAAAATAGAGATTAAAAGAAAGCAGTTTTGAAACCAGCAAGATTTTACTATGTACTTGATGTCAGGGGATTATCCATTGCCTAAGGGGGTGGAGTTAGGGGATGTAATAACCTACATGCAGTTTCAAGTGTCAGTGCTTCGAAGTTCCAGATATGGATATCTGTCTTTGCCCTTTGGACAGAGCCACTTAACCTTATTATTCTATCAAACTGGAAAATAATTATTGAGGGCTGATTTCGTCATTGTCCTCATTTTGGCCTTTTATAGTAGCAAAATGACAGCGACAACGGCCACAATGTATGACAGCACAACGTTGCTTGCCCATACTTAAAGGGCCACGCATTTCAATTTTAATGCAGTCGTTTTGAGTGCACAGTCGTCTCCGCTTTTTCAATTATCGTTTGCCATTTTATAAGGATAGTTTGATGCCTTTAAATTTAATTTTTTTTATTCTTCCATGCATATTTGCATATTCATGATCAAAAGTGTGATGACATTTCGTCAGGAAGCATCAGGGCTAGTCGTACTAACTGTCAGCACCCCCAGATTAGTGGCCGGAATTTGGGATATTTTGCTTCCTTAATGTTTTGTGCCTTTGGTGATCTACTGTTGCTTCAGTGCATAACGATAGGGGAGAGGTAGTCAGTGAGCCAATTTATAGATACCGAATTTAAACAGGATAACTCTAAAATAGACGGCGGTTTCCTTCAAAGACGCTCGGCAGCAACAGCGCCCGTAATTGTTTCTCATGGAATCAAAAGCGGTAATTGTTTTTTCAATCATAATGTAACCACAAAGAGATTCCAAACGGTGTTCATACGTTTAAAAGGGATCTCGAAAGTTGCATAAAATGTAATACTAAAGTTTTTAAAATTAAGTTCAAGATTTACCATTAATGGAATTTTGAAAATGAAAACCCCTCCTGTTAAAATCTAAAAAGGTGTCGTAAACTCGGGCCCTTTAACCTGAACTGACTTGTGCCAAGATGGCCCTGAATCGATGAACAGACACGTTGACTCGTAATTCTTAAAGAATCCTCATTCATCTCGTGCCAACGGAAACAACCATGGGCCGCTTGGCATGGCCTGCTAAAAAAAAAAAATAAAGGCAGCAATGTGCAAATCGATCATCTGGGTTTAAACTCAAGGTCAGTCCTCGGAATTTAAACGACAGTTAAAACATATTGCATCTTGCGCAGTTTCTCAGTATTCAGCGGGCAATAAATACTAAACGACGCGTCAGTGGGTAGTTGGAGATTGAAGCTGAGTTCGTGCTTTTCCACCTCAATTTCACTGGGACCTCCACATTGATACAGGTATAGAACTCTTCGGAGTGTTTTCACGCGTTGTATTTCAAACGGGCTGCCTTTGCCGACAAGCCAAACAAATTGTTTATCATTCCACCTCCCTATCCCTCACAAGACTGTGCAAGTTCAGACAAAAATCATCAGTGGTAGTAAAACTGTGATAAAAACTGTCGTTTCCCCTTTAGTTTGGAACCTCCGTGCCCTGAGGTGATGTGCCGCTGTTTCTTTAACCCCAGCTCACGAGCAGTTTGTCAGTGGTGTCTACATGCATTTCCTTGCGTCGCATTACCACTTGTCTAAGCTGTCACAGACGAATCCAGCGACGTTTCACAGGACATTCCCCGACCGCTTTTCGCCAATGGCAGGGGCCAGGGCTAGGGCTCCATTGTTTTTCTGTTTCCCCTCCTAAGTTCCTCTCTTTTCAGAAATGGGTTTAAAGGCACCAGCATTTAGCTTCAACCCTTAGACGGGCCATCAAAGGTTACCAAAACATTGCCACAATTTTTGCCCACCACTAAGATGGTTGTGGATCCACCTTTGGGCGGGTCCACTGCAGAGTAAGCGTTTCCATGGTCACCAGATTCGTCTATGCATGGTTGATTCCTACCGTTAATACATACTTATGTTTATACTACCAATAGTGTGCACTTATGAATATAATGCTATGTTTCGCTGACTTCATCGTCAAATGAGACCACTGAGACAGTGGCGTAGCCACCGGGAGGGGGGTCTGTGGTCACGTGCCCCCCCCCCCAATTCCAGGTGCCACTCCACTAAAAAAAACGGATTTAATGGATATTGAACAAGACCGACGAAAATTTGCCCCCCAAAAAACAACACCATTGAAAGCTGGTGCCCCCCATAAGATATGCTGGTGCCCTCTTGCGCCCCCTCCCCACCAGTAAACTCCTAGCTACGCCACTGCACTGAGAATTTGTCCAACACCAATTTTGGCCAAGGCAAGTTTCTAACTCCACATTTGTCAACAAAGTTCAGGCTGCATTAAGTTAAGGAGGACTGCAACATTTGCAAACTAATCTCATGTAGATTAATGCCATCCCAGTGAACATACCAAATACTTGATACATAGCTTGGTTTTCTTCTGGAGTAGATCTTGTAACCTGAAACATTCTCATTCCCTTAAGGTCGTATCAGCGGATTGAATTTGCCGACCAGACGGGCAGCATTATCACAACCCACTTTTATCTCGGGAATGAATTCTTTGCATAATAGAGCAACTTTGAGTTCTTTTCGTTTAGTTTAGCATGTTTTCACGAAAAACAATGGTCTAGACCATTATATGACTTGCCAGTAACTAAATCCTATGTTGCTAACCCTTATTAATAACCGAGGAGAGAACCTTTCATTATATTCTGATATTTTGCCGTAATCGCACGATTGACCCAAGATGGAAAACTAAAATTTGGCCAATTTAGAGCAGAACCAAAATTCTTAACATTTCTTGGTAAACAGTAAAGAATGAGAAAATATTTGTCATCAGTCATCAACGCCCATGACATAATTATGCTGATAATTATACTCAACCGGTCTGCCATGTACATTCTGCTTTACCAGCTGAAGTCAAGCTTACCGTGCTTGACCGCATGGATGCTCCGAGCACAAAGCCGACAAACGTGCTGCATGAGTTCGAGTTTTGAGTGTAATTAACAAGGCTCACTCTCAACATGTTTGCGTGTATAGCGCTCTCAGCATCTCCTGTGACTCCAAACTTGTCAAGGTGAAATTCACGTTTGGTCTTAAGTGATCACACTGGAAAGTGGCAAGCTCCATCCTGATTGCTTGTGTTTACCACGGCACATCTCTGGATCGCGCAAAAACAAGCCTTTGACTTCAAGAGTTCATCCAGAACCTAGATTTCAGGGGCTAATTTTTTTCGGGGTGGGGGCTAATTTGGAACCTGTCGCTTAACCTTAAAAGGGCTTTCAGAGGGGAAAGCCACATTCTGCATTCTTGGACACACTTTTTACACACTTTCTGAATGAAGGGAAAATGAAATAAACCAATTTTTGTTTTACATGTATTTATACCCTTGGACACGCAGAAACAAATAATTCAATGGCATGTGGTCAACGATCCACCAATCAGATAGCGGGAATTTATGCAATCGGGTATTACATAAAAGCTTTAACACACGGACAGAAGAAGTAATCGTTATCTAATGGCACCTATATATTCATAAAAAATTAAGACAACCACACAACCGACAAAACGGTTATGTTAGCCGAGTACCCCACAGGGAAGTTCATAAATCACGCGACCGCTGATTTCATCGGCTGCCACCGAGCTGATGAGTTTGTATCCGTAATTGGCCTATCACAATCATGAACGACGCCCTAGCTGGTTCCCCACAGGGGAGTCTGAGCCTGACGAGCTCGTGATGTGTGATGGAAAAAGAGTTCATAAGAATCTGACTGGCTGCTGGTACTCATTCCACTTTAAAACACACTGTTTTAGAATGAATGCCGTCCGCTGCCAAATATAACCGGATCGAGGATTCTATTCATAGACGTGACAAAGATCTTTAAGATTCCAAAAAGGAGGCCACTGCATGCACAGTATAAATAGACAGCAAAAGACAGGCATCCAATTAATGAACAAAAATTTCCAAATGAGATTGGCATGACTTATGCTGTGACATAAAGGTTGGGTCATCTTCTATTGCGCGTTTTCCCCTTGAACAAATCATTCGTTATCACCCGTTTTTCAATCAAGACTCGAAAAAAGTGGTTCCATTTTGGATTTCTGACAGAGCACCCTTTTCACGCACACATCGGCCACATTGTAATATTATTGTCTCTTCTCATCACACATTCAAGTTTTACTTTTCAATCGTCTATTAGATAGACAATCAGCTTTGTGTTTGTTAAAAAATCTGTGCTTTTCATTACGTGTTTGCCTCTTGTAAAGGGCATCAACGTACTGATTCCAACAAAATATTTGAAGAAGCCCGGGAATCGGTCACGTGCTCCACACACGACTCCTGCTTCAAAATATTTGTAAAATTAGAGTGGCAATATTCATGGCATATTCAACATTCACATTCACAGCAGCTGCAGCCAGACGGAAATTAAAGCCAAACGTCACCAGGGGAAAAGAGGCTGTCTTGGAACTGTAATGGAATGGAGCAGGGAGTGCGAAGTAGCGACAGCTGACTCCAGCGAATGTGACCCGTCTGTAAAGCGATCCGTGTGGCTGGGTAGGTCGACTAGTTCCGCCCAGCACGGATCATTTTGAAGTTTGCATGGCGGGGGAAATTAGGTGTCTTGCTGATTATTTTCCAGAAATCGATAATTTTCTTTTTACTGTTTCGGCGAAAAGTGAGTGGCTTTAATACTTACAATGACAGTGACTAGTTGACAAGCAAAGCTTACAGGGAAGGCCCTGAGGATGGACGGGAAATGTGTGACATTTACCGGTAAGTACCGGTACGCTAGTGCCTGCGAATCGCGACTTTATCCTGAAGAATATTACTCCAGTTAAGGCCATCATGCCACGTCTAGTTGTGTCCATCCCGTGAAAAGATAAACTTTCTTCCATTTTTGGATTTTATTTAAATCGAGATTTACCATTCTCCTGTGGTGTATAGTACAGTACCCTATGAGAAAATCTCGGAAAAGATGCTTCTCGTGGGAGAATGAGGCAATGGAAATGGTAAAACATGTCTGCAGATAAACCTCGAGAAAATCTCCCCATGCTACTAGTGCGGCGTTCCGGGGAACATTTTATGCAGGGGTCAGTTCGGACCATCGCTAGCGCATGAACGTGACAATTTTGACATACCACAAGATGCCCTCGAATGACTCGCCTGCGAGATGCGCATGTTTGGAGCGAGGGTGCGTGGGCCGATTTCGTTGGAATCTTGGTTGCCTTAAGTCAATGCCGTCGAGGCGCCATTATCAAAGTCCACGCGCACTGCGCGTATGGCGCTTGACAAGACTACCGGGTGCTGGGCGGTCGCTATGATTCGAGATTTATCGAATTGTTCGGTAGCCTTTCCTCGAGCACACTACGTGTGATGCACAGACTAAAACTTCAACGATAGCAACGATCGCCTTGAGTGAAAGCAAGAATGCTGAGACGACCAAGAATGAACGTAAAGGGTGACTGAACTAATTCAAGCTCCACTGAAAACAGTGTAAAATCAACAAAGTTTGGAGTCCCATGGCAGGCAACTGAAGTCCCTGAGGCCTCTCAAACAAAAAACAACGTGTTGTTTGGTACTTCAGATTTCATTTAATTTTCAAATGTTAGTAGGTTAACCAATGAATTTTTTAATTATCCGCCCAAAACAAACTCCCCCCCCCACAAAGTGAATGTTCCCAAGTCTTCTCAGCAGCCATTTTTCGTAAACATCCCTCACCTTTCTCAGGCTCTTCTGACAAATATTCAGTTACATTTTTGTCTGCTTTTCCCCAGAGATGATCCTAGGCCATACTTACACACTCCCACAATTTCTTGGCCCACACAGACCCCTCTAGCTCTTTTCGAAATAATTTGCAGGGGTACTTTTTAATTAAGCTCCTCGGCCTGGCCGGGAATTTTCCTTCAATTGGGACACTGCACCCTGAACAGCACCGTCACGTTGCGTACAAGATTAGTCCAGAGAATCACTTCTTAAAGCCATCCAGCCGACTCGCAGCAAATATATCGAAGGACGAATACATGTAAGTCCATAACTGACGGATCACTTGCCTGATAGTCGAAATCAAGGAGGTACCGAAATGGTATAATCCGCAAATAGGTAAAAAAAAAGAGTAAAATGCGACAATATGAAAGATCCCGAAGAGAATGACAAGATGATGGAATATCAAAATACTGAATCCACTGCATCAATTAATGCGGTTTCAAAAACTTGCGAACACAATAAGCCTTTGAATGAAGCTCTTCAAGTTTTTATTTTCATTAAATACGTGGCTGCAATCATATCAATATCGCATGCAATAATAGAAACTCTTGTGATTAATACTGTACTGCAAAAAAAAAATCAAGGTAGTGTCAAAGGAACAGAGATGAAACAAAAATACTTCTTTCTCTGAACGTGAAAACAATTCATTATTTGAAATTCACTTTGATGTCTGTTGTATAGGACATGTCTGCAGAGACTAAATTTGAAATTAAATCTGGGATGGCGAAATGTCAACCCCCTGGATGGCTGAAAAATGTGCTTCGGCCACAGAGGCAATGTAGGCTTCTCGACAGCACAGATCCATGAACTGTTGAGCCAGGATGTGTATATTTTTTAATAATTTCCCCTAATTGATCCACTAGGCTATAGGTAGTTCGATTTCCTATTTGATTTGTATCTGATCGACAATTAGTGAAACCTTCTTCACCAACTAAAAAAAGTAAAATTAACGTCATGAATTTAACCTAAATGCAAGGAATATCGTCATTATTTCGCAGAACATGCAGAACTGAAAAAAAATAAGGTTAACTGCTATCTGCATAGAGGCAGAGCACACATGCTATAAAACCTGAAGTTACAAGTATAATACAATGTAATATGTACACACAAAGTTGGAATTAGTTTTTACTATACAGAAGTTTTGGCAACATCACTTACAAAATATACATCTTTAGTTCCCAATAAAAAAATCTACTTCAAGAGGAAGTCATTTCAACGATCTCATTTTGCGTAAAACCTAGGAATCAACAATATAAATTGAGGATTTTGTTTTAAGTCTGTTATAAGAAAATATACTGACACCTCACCACAGTAAAACTTCCTTTCAATTGAAATTTCTGCAAGTTTGAATTAATCCCCAAATACTGCAAGCGTAGGCCTAGGAACGACGGTGGAGTAGAAACAAATCCTTCAAAAACCAGCGAGTGACTGTCCATTTTTAGACATCCATCACAGGCTTATTTTGTGTGCACGCCACATGTAAGTTTACTAATTGAGAGTAACTTGGAACAAAGAATAAAAAACAAAATATCTGTACTGACTGCTTTCAAAAGTACAGAATACACATATTACATCACTGGCAACTGCAGAGGCACTTTTTGAGTGCTAAGGACGGATTTATCAACAGTTAAAAGAACAATTCAAAATACGACGAATGGACGGAAGCTTTAAGATTAAAATTGAGTTACGGTTATTTCAAGTCAACTGTAGACGATCTTCCACATAAATGTCAAGGGTGGCAAAATGCTGAGGAAGATAAAAAATAACTGATTTAAAGATCTGGAGAAATTTTAAAATCACGCCTGTCCCTGATAAAATGGTAAACTGTGTAATAGCCGCCACTTTGACAGAAAGACTGGTCCTGAATACAAATTGTCCACTAAATCTGGCAGATGCTCACACATTTAAGTACATGTGTTAATACATGTGTTCATCCTCACACAGCAGAACGTTGGGGCCTCAATTTAGGAAAGCCTGCAGTTGAACATAACTGACATTTCATATCAAACACCCTCAGGAGATAAACACTTGTGATTTATCCAAAACCAAAAGAAAAAGATTTGGAATGAGAAAGTGGAAAGTATACCAATCATTGACATTTTCAACAAAAAACAGGAATAAAATGTAAAAAGAGGACTTTTTATGTGACAAGTAAGCCAAAGCCTGCGCATTTGTTAATGGCATTGCATTGTAAAATCAAATACATTAACAAGGAGAAAGGTGTGAAACATAAGTGAACATCTTAAAACCAGTAACACAAAAACCCAGAAAATACATGGTGGTCGTGACTCAGAATAAATTCACACTGTGCATTTCCCAACATCAAACAGTTGGAGTCCAACTGCAGACTGCAACCCAAAAACTCAGTACAGCATCAAGGGAGGGTCATTAACAGTGTATGACTGCATCTTAGATATCTTCTGCAGTCACAATGTTTAGCTTTGGTAGGATGAACATTACGGGAGGCTTGATACGGAAATGTATGTACATGTACATGTATTGCATTATTCTACGTGAAAGTAATCAGCTCGAGCAACTCGCTTAGATTCATTTCACCATTTACACAATTAAACAGCACACAGTTACCAATCGGGTAGTGGTTACAGAAAATAACCCATCAAATGCGGCCCCCCCCCCACCGACAAAATGTTCACTTTGAATGTCTTGAGTATTGACAAGAAATAGGTAAATTCATTACCATGTCAAAAATATGTACCATTAAATATAAATAATTCCCAAAATTATTGCTAACCAAAACACATATGGTCCACCTCTGAGCAAGTTGTGTACCTGATGTTACAGTACATGTACATTGCTGGACAGATGTACTGTTACAAGAACAGCTGAGAAATACAAATGCATGTAAACCATAAGTAAGTCTGTATACAATGTACATGAATGTCATGCAAGCACTCAATAAGTATTTTTAAAAAAAAATTGTTACAGGCAGAAAATCTGGCAGCTATTAGGTATGTTCTAGTGCCCTGTACTCCAGTGGCTATGTGCAGCAACGCTTTCCTCAAAGTGACACCTGTGCATTGGTGAGCGCTCAGTTTCAGTGGGCAGTTTTTGAACAGATAAACAAAAGGACTAGAATTGGTGATCGTGACATGACATTCATAAAACCTCTCTTGAACTGTGTTCAACCACGCACTTCGTTGGAATTCACTTTAGTTCTCAAATGTGATTAATTGGGTTTCCACAATGATAACCTAAGGGCACACACATTGCAGTTTGAGCACTGATGTCCCAAGTGCAAAACATATTAGGCTTAACAGAAAATAATAATCAGATTTTACAAGTCACGTTAGCCTTAACCATGCTAGGCACGTGCTAAAAGAAAGGAAAATGGAACACTTGATGTGCTATGTCTGTATTTAACGATCAAGCTTTCTGTAAGCGAGATAGCACAGAGGTTAAAAGGCACAAGCTGCCCTTGGTAGACGACTAGTCATTTACAGCACGGACTGTTCCATTCTCGTGGATCAGTGGCGTACCCAACAAGCAACAGACACACCAGACAGCCACATGAAGCCACTCTCGTTATCTGACAATAGAGGGCGTCCTGTACCGGTGTACCTGGCTGTTTCCAGTCGGTGACGTGCTCAAGATGAATTCAATGATGTCGCTAGTCCTGGTCGAGGTTGTCAGCTCAGCACCACCGCATGGTTCTCACGCATTTCAAGTTGCTGTATGCAAACGGAGGGAACAGAACAATACGCCTGCATATTACATTTGAGCTAATAGGATAGCTTTATGTCAAATTTTTGAAGTCAAAGTCTTCACATTTGGGGAAGCCAAGGCCTGAGGGTAGTTCCGCAGTAGCCAAAAGAAGTACTGAAGTGCGATATGTTATTAGAAATACTTGATATTCTACAGTCATGGATTATCCCTGCTCGTGCTAATTAGAAGAAATAACATCCCCAAGGCCACATGAATAGACATGTTTACCTTTAGTCTCAGTGTGTTGGATGTACCTCTTAGTCTTTGTGATTTTGTTGACCTGGAATGGATAGAGAACAATAACATTATCATAATCATGAACAAAGCAGCTGCAGTTAATTTAAACGACTCTCCCAACTGATGACCACTAATGACAGTTACACTTGAAACAAACACACCTACATCAGCATTTAGAAAAGATTTTGAGCTCTTAAATTTACTTGGACTTAAACATACTTCTCAAATGAAGCTTTTCAATCTGAGACTCCCTTTGTTTATTTTCATACAAAAGTGAGCTCATTAATTTCGGATTTAATCCACATTAAACACTCTTCTCAAGTAAAACACAAACATTTGAGCCCCATAAAAATCAGAGTTGGTCACCGGAACACAAGAACTCTCTACACAACACAATTTATATAGCCTTGAAAATACGCTCTTAGTGACAGAACAATAATGCCAAGGGAGTAAATTATTCACACATGCCTTAAACCTGACAAACAACTGCTCAACAACAGATTCACTCCAGTCTATTTATGCTCACACACAATCATACATGACATCTGGTTGTGCAGCAAAACTTTCTATTATTATACAAATCTGTGCAAGCCTGTGACAATGAACAAGAACATTTTCTGAACGGCCTGAGAGTGAATACCACATATCACACGGCATGCAAGGAAACTCTTGACGTGGAACAATGGAGGGCATGTAAGAACTGTAGGGATGTTGGCATTTTGAATCCAAAATCAAGCCTGCTTATATAGCAATCCAAAAAAATGCATCAGCAGCTTCATTAAAAAACAACCGTTCCAAAACCAAACACTCCTATCAATTGCCTGTACACTGTATCTGCTACCAGTTGCTTATTTTGCCCAGGAATTCAGAAGGAATTTCACCCAGACAATGTCATATAGAATTTCGGCTAAAGCGTATATGACCTCTGGCTTTCAATGTACAGAATAATGATTAGATTTACATGTATAATTGTTTTGACCAGCAGGTGCGTCTGTACAAACAACATAATATTTCTCATATTTTAAGGATTTACAGATGTACTGAAACCCTGAAGCACAAATGCAAATGATGGAAATACCTCCCGTTTAAACTTCAAATAAGCATGTGAAGGCCACAGACAACAGACGGCAGCCAAAAGCATATGTATGGCATATTGCAATAGTGTCTGGCTATCTCAATGAAGGGATTCTACAGACCATCAGCTTCACCTTAGAACTTGGCATACTTCATTTTGACATTCCTGAAATATGTTCAGCAACTGAGTAAACAATCACATTACCAGATGCTGCTTCGTTTAAAGGCGGAATACAGAGAAGCTTCAGAGCTCTGCCAACAATTTGGCAAAGACCACTTGGCCTGTCAAGTATTCTTCAAGGGACATATCTTTGGACCCTGGAAACCTTGGCAATGGCACTTTGTCTTTATCAATTTGTGAACAAAAGAATAATGTATAAAATTACAGAAAAAAGTAGCTTGATGTGAAGGCCTTTTGGCTTGGCACTCTACATGTATGCGTAAATTATGTTAAATGGAGATGGTCGAATTCAAGGGGGCAAAAATGGAAATGTTAAATCTATCCTCTACCCATTTTAGTGTTTGAACAATTATTTATATTCAACAAAGAAATTCATCAGATTTCTTCCAACTGACATTATGCATGATGCGTTGATTTATCAAAATCGCTATTTGCAAATTATGCTGATTTTTAGAACAACACTTTCAAAACCACCTTCTGGAAAGGCACCCACGAAGCTTCAGCAATAAAATCAAAACCTGCACATTCATGTTTTGCCACATTCAAAAACTTGACAAGAGCAAAGGATGACAGACTTTTTTTTTTATCTTAGCTGGTCTCTGCCTGGCTGAATGAGCAGCAGCAGCAGCAGCATAATAAAGCCATGCAAAGGGGACAAGCCACACACGCACACATTCATGCCGGTCAGACCTACACTTGAGGCTTGGCCGTGCCACGCCCGGCATCGGCACGCACAAGGATGTATAGTTGGGCCTGTGAGACAGTTTCAGGGCCACGGTGGGCAGGCCTGGGGCCTTGTGCTTATTGCTGTGGGGTTAAGGGGGTGAGGGGTTACAATTAGAGGGTGGTTAGTACAAGATGTTAACACAAGGGCATGTATATTTGCAGAGGCACTGAGCTCTGATGGAATTCTTTCTCGCAGTCTGCCCATTATGCACAAATCAGAAACCACGGATAAATTAATGACAAGTGAGGAGTGGAAGTGATTAAAACTTGGTATTACAGGTGACATGAAGGAAACATATTAATGATATTTACAATCACGTGAAAGCAATGTTTCTGAGGAAATAAGCAACTGATATAGAGTGTGTGAGCCTTGGGGTTCTTTTCTTCGAGGAATGTGCGCGATAAATGGTCCTCTTTTAACAGCAATGAAAACATAACAAACAGGGTCAAAAATAATCTCGGGTCTCTTTTTATGTCACGATACACTATTTTCAAATGAAAATGTGTCTGACAAGGTATGGGTTTACCTGACTTGACACAAAAGGATGCTATCTGCCCACTCCATATCTAAAACTTGACAACGAGATAATGTCATATAGTGCAGACAACTGAAAGCACTAGGTTTGTTTGAGGGGGGAGGAATTGTTAGCAAGTTAATATTTTCTTAAAGATCAGTCAATTGAAGGAAAGACCACTCAATGACATTGCTTATTTAATACTAGTTGGTTGAAAGAATTTTTAGTATGATTTTACTTTTTCAGTTTTGAATTAATTTCATTTTTGTTTCCTTCTTTTCAAATTTTCCATATTCAAAATTTTATTCTATTTAATTCCAGTACCACAAATGCTCTTTTATCCCAATGATTTCTAAAAAAGGAGAACAAAAATTATGACAAACACTGCTTTTCTGCACATGGAAAAATTCATTATCTGACTTTAAAAAGTTGCACGTTTTGAATTTTTTACATTTCTCCTGAGGTTTAACTGGAGCAGCGACTTTTGAATTAAAAGTATCTTTCCTGAAGAACGTCCACTAATACAGATGTCATAACCAGACATCGATCAATGATTCCTTAAGGAGGAATTAACTCAGAATGACATTCCCTCAAACCCTCATCATCTGTGAACAATTTCTGAGAATGAAATTTTTCAGCACAGGCCATTGTATCTTCACAGATAGATAAGATTGCAATCACTGTTTGATTTTGATAAACGTATTTTTCGGTATCCAGGATCAAAGTCTCATTTTTCGGTTGGAAGCACTTGATATTCTCTATGGTACTTCAGAAGTCCAACACCTTGTCAGGCAGTAGTGGTGGTGAATTGCGCCCTCTTGTGCTTGGCCTTATCAAGGTAAGTTAATTCTTGAAAGTGTGATTTGTTGGTAATAATACGCAACTAAAGTGAATGCTGTGTTAGTATTTTAGAGAAATGAATGAAAGGTTTACTCAAAAATAAATCATGTGTTATTTTTTTTACACAATTTGCATCTATGCAAACCACCATGAACAAGAATGTCATCAAAACGTGCAGGTACCAACTGGATGGCCAAGCTATTAATTCACAACAGCAATACACACATTATTTTATGCATTAGATTAATGTTAGTTTTTCCTGCTAGTTACTGAATCAAAGAAACAAGCGGGCCCTCCAAAGCATCAAAATATTGTCATTTCTGACGGAATGTCATACGATAGCCAGTTTCATTATAAACTCGCTGTTTATAAAAATACAAATATACAGCATTATTAAAGAATGTGTTAATTTGGGTCACTGGGAAATAACTAAATCTTCAGAAAACCAAACTTTACCTTAGATAGCCGTCGTTCATGTTGGCACTTCCTAATCGCTCGACCCGCCCTACAGAGTGCTTGCTGCCTGCCGACCCCAGCTCAGGCCTGTGCAGGACGGGCGCCGGTCCCGAGACCACTGAGAGGTTGAGTGTGGCCGCACCGCCGGATGTGGGGCTCTGGGTGACACGGATCAGGTTGGGGAAGTTGTGGTTGCTACTGGCGCCGCCGATGTAGATGTTGGGTGGTGTGGCACACATGGCCACCGTCGTGAGATTGGTGGTGCTGTTGACTGCACCGATTCGCGGGTTGTGTCTTGTGTGATTCATAGCTGATGAGGATAAGAAATATTAACAAATACATGTAATTATTCTACTCAGGACACATGTACATATTGAATGTTTACCAAAGAAAGGGTACCTAGTCTATTTCCATCATACAAGACGCATGCAGGCTTTAACCACTGCAACTTTCAATTTTTTGAATATTTTAGCCACCCTTTCATACCCCACCAAAGAAAAGTATGGTGGTACAATCTGAAAGCTCAGGCATTATGCCAAATAGCCCTAAATATATGCAAGAGGGTAAATTGGTCTCTAATTTAAAGAGGACAATTTAATTACAAGCATTGGCTGTTTGAATCAATTGTATTTGAGTTGTACATACATGTAAAACTTTAATGGCTTCTTTTTCCAAAATTCTGTTGTGTATAATGAAGCTGAAACATGGATGTGAAAATCATGGTAGGGAAAGGAAACTACACGTAGCTGAAATGTGATTTACTTCTACATTTTGAATCAGGCAGGCAAAGAAAGACAGTTTCGTTATGCAAACCCAAAGTTCTGCCTGATGGAATAAACTTCTTGGTATGGGTACTTACAGGGATCTCTTCTTTGATTGGCATTCGCACTGAGTATCCTTCTCTCCTGAGGGTGGTGCAACACAGCCCCGCTTGCGCAGTCCCCGCACCGCCAATCATTCTGACCCTGCGTGGTGGATGTTATCAACCTGCTGCCCCCGCCTGCGTTGGCCATGCCTCTACCCTCTGGGTCCAGCAGGTGCGCCAGGTGCTTCCACTCCACCTCGGGCACCACAGTGCTGGCCAGCCGGGCCTCACGACCTCCGGACGGGTACCCCTTCCTGGGGGCAAAGCGGTACCTCTGCTGGAGGGTGGTGGCGGCGGTGGGATTTGGGTTCTGGCTGAGGGTGGATTGCTGCTGTTGACTGTGGGTGGGGACGCGGCCATTTTTCGCCAGCACAGACTGCCACTGGCCACTGGTGACGTGGGCAGGAGGGTGGGGCTGCACACGCATGGCCGTTGATGAAGGCGCTGATATCTAAATGGACAATTGGACGGTGAGAGGGATGGTATTATCGCGGGACTTGAAGGAATTAGTATCAGAAGTATTTGGCTCTCAAGTTAACAGGTGTTTCTCTACTTTTCTGTTTATTAGTGTCCGTTATTATGTATCAAAAGTTAGTTAACCAAAGTACCAATGATGCTCTGAGCCAAATGTCAATGTGCTGCATGACTAATCTGGAGAAACTATGTATTACATGTACATATCATGTTAATGACATTTCCCACCGTTTTACACAAATAGTAAACTTTGATAGACCATAAATGTATTTTTCATGCAACTATTATTTCGATCATGTACACTTCTTAAGCCACACTAGAGGGCTAATTTCATGCATACAGATGCACAGCAACATTTATCCTATTCAAATTGATGGCAAACATGAAAGAATTACAGCTGCATGCCTTCAACGGATTGCAAACAATTATTCAAACTTTTGAAACATTATGGAAATGAATTTGCTGATAGTTATTTCCAAAATTTTCTTTGGAATTCTCAATGTTTTTCATACTCTCCAAAATGGTAATTTAATAGTTTTCCACGACATGTGACTTTCCTCAATTTGTCAAACCATTTTCATATTTCTCCTGAATTCCTGACATTTTTTTTTTTTTCCTAAACTGTAGGACAAAATAATATGACTTTTCCCCAACTTCCCGACTTTTTTAAAGGTTATTTTTTCTCACGACTTTCTAGAACCTCCAATCACCTGCTGTGTGAAAGATGAAGGCGGGTTATGAGCAGCATATGGGAGGTTATTGGGGCGTAGAGCATTGACATCCGGCGGCATGGTGATAGCCATGTGGTCACTGAAGGTCAGCCGGCTACTCTTACCAGACAGGTCCTGGAGCTCATGCTGAAGGAGACAGCGGGAAAGATGAGGCAAGACAATGATGAAGGTGATTACGGATGAGGAATGGGTAAAGGATGGGTGCAAGAAAGGCGATGAAATTGGTGCAATGATAAAAACCACAGCAAGCAGTAACAAAGCAATCTTTCACTGCAGGTGCTTTTAGGCAAGGATGAAAGTGAAGTAGCAGTCAAATTCATCCTATTCTTTCTACTATGTGGTTTCAAAGACTGCGCTTTGCAACTTGGACAACATACATGTTGGAGAATGATCTCCTCAGTGCTGCAGACAGATAAAGATCCCTGACTGGAAGGAATGTGAGAAATGCGCTCACTGGACGTTGAATAATAGTGAAAAGGAAACGTTTGGGGTAAATTGGTCATCTGCAAAAGGCCGGTCCTCTGCAAAAGACTAGTCATTGTGACTTTACACAGAGGCATGTCAAAGGCTGTGGTGAGTACTGCTGCCTGGAAGACTCAGTCACTGCTACATCCAGACAAAGCCAAAAGTTATCAAAAAGCATTCTGAACACATGTAAAAGACTGTAACTCCTAATTATTTTTGATACACACTTCCTCTTTGTGTTCCTGATCTGAATGAGTGGTACTGAATTTTTTTTAAGCAGATGAATATGTGCGAGGTAATGAAGAGGGTAACTATTGAAGAATATCTTAGAAAGTTTTGGTCCTGAATTTGTGAAGTCTATTGAACTGCTACCATCAGCTTGAATGGAAAACTTTCATAAGACTTTGATACCTCACTAATTGACTGCAGAGTCTCCACACTATCCTGCTTTTTCATAGCACTATCCAGATCAACATCCTCCTCTGTCAGTCCATGGAACACCTGGGATCCCAGGGGTGGGTGTGGCATCAAGCCCTGAGGGGGATGGGGTGTAATCTCCCTAGCTTGTTTATCATTCCTTTGCCTAACGTGTACAAAGCGCTTACTCCTGCCTATGCTGTGTACAGTCAGTGGTTCCTGGCAGCCGGCTGGCCAGCATATAACCTTGTATTTGGACCGAACCCGGCTGTCATGTGAACCCTGGATAATGATCTGAGAGGAGCCTGCCGAGTTGTTGTGGGACCGGCTAGCCTGAGCGGCTATGGCTGAGGGATCTTTGACAAATACGTCATTTATCTGGGCCTCATTGTTGGCCAGGTTGATGCTGTATGTGTACACCTCCGACCACTGGGCGCTGGGCTGTCCCAGCTTACGGGACTCGGCTTGGGGAGGGTGAAGGTTGGAGCGGGGTTTAGGGTTGGTTGACTGGGATCGTAGGCCAGGAGGGGTTTCAAGGTGGAGGAAAGCATTCATCTGGTGAGCTACTCTACTGGTGCAAAGACGGCGGGTGCAGAGGTGGGAGGGTTTATTGTGTTCTACAAGTGCCTTAGATGTGCAAGGAAGGAAAGGGAAGAGAGCTAAGTTAAAAGCGTCAAGTTTGGTTAGTAGCAGGCACAGACAGAGAGGGGTTAATCATACATGAATGCTAAATTTCTGAACTGAAAACACCATGCCAATAATTCAAATGGACTAGCGACAATCTTCACAAGGTTGATTTCATAAGAACATAAAACATGCATTTTATCTTGGACCAAAACAATCTTTTTACAATACTTTGATTCCTCAATCTACTCAAATTTCAAGAATCAACAACTATTTCAAATGCAAAATGATTTCTGATTTCTTGTGACACACTTTGATATACAGTGGACCGTCGCTATAACGAACATGACAGGGTTCACACAAAATGTTCAGTGTACCAGTTGTTTGGTACAGTGATTTTCAGTCACGGACACAATTTATAATGTTCGGTATAGCAGTGTTTGTTATAGCGAAGTTCCACTGTACATCAAGATTTTCAAATTCAACTGTGTTCCTGCAATAAAATATGCCAAAACAAACAGGCTGGGAACGAAGTAAAACCAAGCCATGAAATGATCACAACTAAGCCGCTTCGCACACTGCCACACACAGCACACACCTACACCCCCACCCCCACCACCAACGCCAACCCAATGACCTACTTACATTAGCCTGTCTCTCGGCATTCTTCATTACCCCAACTGTGCCGGGTGTGCAGTGTAGTAACCTGTAGACGTGTTCCACGACCCCCAAACCTCGGACGAGGTTATCGCGCTGGAGCAGAGCGCTGACCCTCTCCAGTTCCTCCTCCTCCAGAATGTCCGTTGGCTCTTTGGTGTTAATAAACTCGTGTTCTTGCTTGACCTGCAGTGTGCGCAAAGAATATATCACTTGATGTTGCATGTAAGTTGTTAGACATCTGACCCATACTTAGTTTATGAAAAGATGAATACATAAACAGAGGGACCATAGTACACATTTCTTTTGTATTTGTAATAGGTAAATAACCCTTTCGCACCTCAACAGTTTGTTATGATCACTCTGCATTCTCCTGCCAATTAAAGAAGCAGTCTAATTGTATAAAAGGCACTCAAAATGCAACAATGAAATATAGATGTCCAATTTTAACCCAAAGTTTTACCTCGGTTTGTGAGTTGGATTGGTTGAGACGTTTTCCGTAGGCTACCCTGGGTATAGTGACTCTACTCCGCCGTTTAACCTTCTCTCTGCCGGGACTTTCTGGTCTAGTCCCTTCGGGGTCTTTTCTTTCTGTTGGTTTCTTCCTCAGCATCATTTCAAGTTTTTCTTGTTTCAGCCGGAGCTCTTCTCTTTGTTGTCTTTACAAGTAATTAAAGAAACATCGAAATTTTCTTTACGGATGGAAAATTGGAAAAGCGTACATCATTTAATAAAAAAGTACAAACGTGGCACAGCAACACACTGATGGGTTCATTAGGGAATTTAAGTTCCAAAAAGCCGCCAGTGGATGCCACTTGCAAACAGGGGTTTAAGACATTAACATTAGAAAAGGAGACCAACAGACAGGGAAAGAGAAAACATATTACAATTTAAAGAAATATTTTGCATATACAACATCTGCATAAATTTGTTGTCCGTGAAAGCTGGATAAACCTCATAAAAACTTAAAATAAAGGAATAGGGAAGCTAAAGGACTCTGTGCCTAAACTTTTCCATTTGCTGCTTTCAATGAAAAAGTGAAAATCTTTCTCCGATACTTTAACCTGTATTGATAACACTCATTTTATTTCAGAAAAAAAAAAACATGTAGCTATTATATAAGCTGGTTTTAGTAAACAAAATAAAACATTATCAAAACTGACGAAGAGTTTCTTCTAAATCTTACCTGGCGCATTCTCCCCTGGCTTTGGAGGCAGCTGTTTCTTGGAACAGAGAGCCGCTATGCTGGAAGTATCTGTCATATTTCTCACTACCTTCTCTGGGATAAATCCTAGTGAAACCGCCTATGTGTTCGTCTTCATATTTGATCAGAGTGTCTTGAATTGTCGCCAATGACTCAAGAGATTCCTCTTTCCTATTCCAAGGAAATGAAAAACAAATTTAAAGTACAACAGAACTATGGGTAATTCTAGATATTAGGAGTACAAAAGTGTGACATTTTTGTGCCCCTGTTACATCTGACCTTTGTTATTTGACATGGAAACCTCACCGGAATGGATTTCAAACTATTACTATTTGTTTGGCAGGTAATTTGCATTAATTTATCAATCTTGGAAATTAGAAAGTACGTTCTGAACTTGTAAAATCATACAGGATCACCAAAAAATGGACCCCTAATTTCTGGAATTACCGCTATACAATGAAAAAAGCTTCAAAGAAAGTCATTTATTCACAAGTCACAAATAGCTAAAGAGAGAAGTCTTGACTAATGCTCATGCACCGTACACTTGACAGTTTGATGGAAGTTTTGCAAAAGTTTTAGCGCTCAACATCTTTGTACAGCCCGTGACAATTTAATTTTTTCTCTGTATCATGTCAATGTGACACAAACTAAGCACAGCCAATAGGATGCAGCAAAGGTATATTTTATTTTGGTACTGAAAAGACACGGCAGGCTTACTTGGGTTCTTTCTTGCCCCTATGAAGCAGTCTGTCCTTGACTCGCCTCCTCTCCTCCTCCAGACACTTCTTGCGATCAAACGGCGTCAGATTGATAATGTTCATGGTGTCAAAGAGGAGTCCCTCCTTCACCTCTTTGTCCAATCTGTGATCGGTGTGAAAACTGGGGGATAGGTTCACCTGGAAAGGAATTACAAGAACAATTTAGAAAATGTGCAAAAAAGATTTAACAATCCAGAAAAGGGGAGGAATATGTTGGGTTGACTGTTTAAACAATTGTTCAGTTTCACCACTTTTGCTGGTGCTCAACTGCATGGGAGGCAAATGAAAATACAACTGGCTTCAAGAAAAGACAATTTACGTCATAATCTCTTGTAGTAAAAATTAAAATTCGCATGGTGTGATCTAAACTTCTGTGTATTTAACAGGTAACAGAGGTAGTCAATATGAGATGAAAAATGCAACCAGCATTTGAATGTTTCATGGCTGATCCTATTTTAAAATAATGAGTTTTCTGAATTTTGCACATCCCACAGCAAGATGCCTAAAAAATTCAAGTTCAATTGAATATCAGCCAACATCTACCAAGACTAACCTCCAGCAGCCAAGCCTTTAGCTTCTTGTCCAGCATGATGTCAAAGCCCAGCACCTCAAAGCAGCTGCTGCCCTTGTTGTTGTTGATGTTGGAAAAGCAGGAGCGGTAATTGTGCTTGAGGATGGGATGGGCCGAGATGAGCGTCTTGATGATCACGTCGTACATCTCCTCCCAGATGGCTTCCGAGTCGTAGCCGTTGTCATCAAACCATCTTTGCAAGGTGCTCAAACGTCTGGACGAGATTGAAGGGAAACATGGGAAGGTCTGGTGTCACATTTGATTTTACTGAAAGAGGATTGGTCATCAACCGATGGTTGGAAACAGCACCTGTAACAAACGTCCTGTCACACACTGTGCTCCAGAATTATTATTTACACAGTTGCAGCCAGAGAAGATCTAGATGACTAGATACAAGCACGACTCAGAATGTGCATTTTTCTCAAATGGAAACGGTGTTGCATGGATGCTGTTTAACAAGCGTTACTACAAAATTTGAACCATCTTGGAACATGGTCAGTTTAAATCGGAAATGCACCATGTTCCCAGAAGCACTTTTAATTTGTGGGTTTTCTCCCCAGTGATCTGACCGGATGAGAATTTGAACACTGGATTCACCAACTCATACAAATGCTCACCTTTTACTGCCTTTTTCCTCATCTCTGATGAAGTCAGCACTGTGTTTGTTGATGGCGTAATTTGTTAAATGCATATAGACGTCATCCTGTAACAAAGAACCTCATGGTTGTTTCAAGGCAATTTCAAAGAGATGGTCAATTAGTGACATCAGAACAAGTCACTGCAGATGTTCTTGTATGTCATTATATGAGTACAGTCAAACTCTGATAATGCGAGAACTTTCAATACAATGTTCTGCTTATCACAAGGAAAATTTCAAGTCCCAAGTCTTTGTATTCTTTGCATTCCAAGACTAATAATAACGGATTCACATTAGAAAAAAAAAGGGAACCTGTACAGTCTCAAGGACCTTGTTGTAAAGGTGTTCGATTGTACATGTACTTGACACTTCCATAATCCATTCATACATCAAGTCTTATCCGATTTTAAATGAATACTTTGCCTTTAGTTTTTACTTTGCGGGATTCATTTATTTATGTATTTAGTTACCCTGGAGAGACCTCTCAGGGGTGCCCAGCAATTAAAAATCATTAAAAACAGTAAATATGTACAATGATATTAAAAAAAGTAAACAACAAGATAGCAAATGTTCATCTTTGATCCTGACATCCTATGACTTGTAACAATTCCCAAGTCAGCCAAAACACTAATCCCCGTAACAAGTATGCCTGGTGGTAGCTGGGCCCTCATTACAACATTTGTCAAATCAAGCAAACTTTAAGTGTTGGATTTCAGGGATTTCAGGTTGGATTATGGGGAAGTTGCGACGTGTTGAGCTACCCACCAAATTGCTGTTAGTTGGCTCTGTGTATTTAACCGTAGCAAACCGAGCCAGTCCATCCTTGTAGACGTACACCCTGAGGGGATCGCATGATGTCACTACAACGTAGACGCGAAGATCCACCTTAAACCCATCAATCAAGAACGGCTGCCAAAAAAACCCAAAATTAAATCAAGTGTTTACAATGAACTTGTTTTTCAGTATGATTCAACAAAAGCTCTTTATTCATTTTTTTTAAAAACGGCACTTAAAGGTGCGATGGTTCAGTTATACACTTGAGCTTCTGACCAATTGCAGACCTACATCTTGAGACATTAGGGATAAATCATGGACCATGTGATGGGTCTGAAACCAGGTGGTCCATCTCTCTGATACAACGTTTAGCTAGAGGAGTAGGTACATGTATGCGGGCTTCTTTTGGAAAACCTAGGCCAATTCAGACTCCCTGTTATACGCAAAACCATAGAACCTCATCTACCTGAAAGCCCTGTTTTTAAGTCACATTTGGACACTCAATTTTCGAAAATATAATATAACATTGAAAACATCTCAAAATGAATCTCTGAAAAAAGTGAAGCACATCAACTCCAGAATCACTATACCATTGTCAGATGCAAAATTTGCCACCCCAATCTGACATTATAAAGAAGAGGGGAGTTTCCAAATGATCTTCATCTTGACTTAAATATTCAGCTTCATTAATTTAATCCTCTGCATTGCGACCGTCCGACTCCATGCCGCTTCTTTTCCAGCTAGACACTTCAAAATTCAAAACTACAAGGCCAAAGTTTTCAGTGTTTTCATATACAGTAGTTTCAACAGTAACTGAGTGTGATTTCGGAGCTTTCCATAGAGAGCCAAAAGGAAACTAAGGCCAACGTTTGGATAATGGCCACAACACTGAGCCCTACCTTCGTCAGGTACTGTTGGCACACCATGTGCTCTCCTGGCTTGATGTCTTTGGGGTTCTTTGTGATGGCAATGCCCTTGCCCTGGCATCCGCTCTCTGGCTTAGTGATGTAAGTCTTGTTCTTTTTGGTTCGACAGAAGGCTTGGAAATCACCGTAGCTGGAATAAAAAACATTTAAACCACCACATAAATCACTCCATCATATAATTTCCATGTGGAACAATTTAAAGGGCATATGAATAACAGTAACTGTCGTGATGATTTCAGGACAGCAGGAACTACTTTTGAAATTCTGCGAACTAAACCACACCATTCATTTCTTTTGACAAAATTCTCTTAATAATGGCTTAAAAATGGCTGATCATTTTTGACTCAAATTATCAACATTACAAACCTCTAATTCCACTAAAGATTTTCTAGAATTATTAACCAAACTGTGAGGGTCATTTGACTCAAACATTATAAATGCCAAGCAAATATGAATTTCTGAAAGAACAAATGCTCCAGTGGGCAGACCCTTTGAAATTCAAAGAATCTTCAAACAGTTTGTCCACATACTCTGCAGGAAGCACCCAAGTGCGGGGGAAGATGGCATATTCCTTTGGAAACAACTTGAGCATTCTGGTCAGGTTCCGTCCCAGCAAATCCTTCCGACAGATCTCACCCATACCAGGGAAGTGGTTCACTTTCTGCTCAGATACAGAGAAATTACCACAAATTCAGAATCTTGTTAATGGAAACACACCTCTCAAAACAGAATACACCAAAGCATCAAGTATTAAGCTCGATTATAAACATCTGTGCAATGAGAATCTCATTTTAAAAAATTTACAGCTGACAAATTGCCTACAACCAATTCAATAACCCAGACACTTTATCAAACACTTTCCATTCTTAAATGGGCAATTTGATTTGCTAACTTGGACAAAAGTGTTTCACAGTATGGTTCTTCATGGGCAAGGATTTTCCTACCAACACTTGTTTGTTTCAAGACCTTGCTGAAAATTTTCAGATGCCCTCTGAAGCAGTGCAGTGTAGCTGCCATCCCATCCGTTACGAAGTGTTAGTCCAGTAGAAAAGGGTCTTTTAACAATGTTCCAAATACTCTCGACCATTCCTGCCATCTTACCTGGAATCTCTTCATTTCCATGACCCTTTCCAAAGACACCGTGCAGTCAGTCCACAACAGGTCCAGTCCTCATCATCAGTTACCTCCTTCATGCCAAACTTCCTGGCCATACGCTTGACTATAAAAATGCAAACAAATGCAAATACTTTGCACAAACTGCACAGTACAAATGAAACATGTGACTGGTGCACACCGCACAGGTGTTTGTAAGTAGTAATGAGTGCTACTGAAGGAAACAAAATGATTGCAGGTGTTTCAACTGGAAGAATCTAACAAGAATAAGCATGAAAGTGTTTTCCCCAACTGATACATGTACCAATATAAACACACAGTTTTGTACATAACTTAATGACAACAATATGTGTGTGTGTGTGAAACATACTTCAGAGAAATTGTATTAATAAGATTGATGAAGATGAAATTTTAGACTTACCCGAATCATATTTGCAACCACTTAAGTTTATGCCAATAAACCTATACATGAAGGAAAGAGTGAAAATAAAGCAATTCATTAATATCAAAAAGTTAGACAAAGGAGCAGTGACTGCACATAATTAAAGAAATTATTTACTATATTCATGAAAGCTAGTTTTCTTAAAACAAAGCACTCACTGATTAAAATAAGTATGGGCTCTGCTCCCACAGTAAAATGATTTGTGGGTTTGAACATTCTTGAATATAGCAGGGAAAGAGCCTCACAAGTCTTTACAGAAAAAATAAATGGGGAAAAAAATTCAAATTTCTGCCTTAAATTCACATTTAAAAGTACAAGCACATCACATAAGTAATGCCTGTTATAACAATGCTTGTTATGAAACACACGGTGGTTTGGGGAGCAAAACTGACAATCTTACTTCTTTTTCTTCTTTTTCTTCTTCTTTCCTGTGGATGACTGGACCCTTTCCTTTGCCTCCCTTTCTTCTACCTTCTCCTCAGGCACATCCTCTGCCCCACTGTCTCCTCCTTCTCCTTCCACCTCCTCTTCATCTTCCACATCTTCTTCTTCCTCCTCGTCATTCTCAGGCTCTTCATCCTGGTATTTGGGTTCGTCTTCCAGCAGCTCGTCATACTCCTCAATCCCTTTGTTATAATTGTCTGTCCTGCGTGGGGGCCTGAGGTTTGGTTGGGGAGTTTGCTGTACAGAAGTCTGTACGGCTCCTGGGATGGTAGTCTGGCCTTCGGTGCTGTCTGCATGTTTCTCCACCATAGTGCTGGCGCACGGGTTTGTGCAATGAGAGCAGACTACACGTAGGTTCACTAGAAGGGAAAGTTGGGATTAAGGTCTGTATCCATTCTGACTGGAGCCTGGACAAGTATACATGAAGGAAAAATATACAGAATTACAACAGTTGTCTAAAGGGGAAAACTGAAGCACTGTGTGTCCATAAACCTTCGCTTTAGTGCACACACAATGTAACTATATTACTAAAATAATGAGAAACCACCTCAACATTTGTCACACATGTACATGTATTCATATGTTACTGGCCACTGAAATTTCATAATGCTCAAAGCCAATTAAGGTAACGCTTACAATGTTCCTCACCAACTCGGGTAATATCAGTGTGACTATTGATTCCTCCAAATGCTAGTCAACGTTTTGTAATGGAATTACTTCTTGATGTACATGTACACATAAGCCAGTAAGATCAAAGATGTCAAGGCCCACACAACTTTTTTTTAGTACTTAGCTACCTTCACATTCCTAAATAAAACTCAAACTTATTTACATTCATACATAAAGAAACCGATTTCTTCAACAGCTTCTACGAAAAATCCAATGATTCATCAGATCTACATTGCAAAAATCTGATCTTCACCTCACATGTAAATAGTCATAACCTTTTCTTGATTTTCTCAACCTTTTCCTTGTTCCCTCAACATGTCTCATGTTTGAAAGACAAAAATCTGTCTTCATCCATGGAGTTCAAGGCTAAGAAACAGAAACATACATTTACTACAATTCCTGGTGAGTGTGTGCAGAGGGCGTTGAGAGTCAGGTTACTTTCATGTACACGTACCCTAAAGGTACATGCATAAATTACTTTCAATGGTAACTCAACCACACAAAGAAAGGTTTAATTTCAGTGAAGTTGATCATGGGGTCACGACACGGTATTACATGTCTTTTCTTATTTTACTGTTCAGGAGAAATTCTACTTTTTCTCTCCTAAATTCAACAGAACGCTGACAGCCATGTATATCATGTGAATTCTTTGAGAATGGGATGAAAACACTACTTGGTTAGAATAAGAGCATTCATTCAATTGTTTACGGCTCTGCTTGAGCACAAACAACTTTGCACTGTGTGATCGAGGTCAAACTCCATGCATGGTGCGAAATAAACTACATATTACATGCACACACATACATGTACATCTTCATTCCAAAAGATGCACATTATGAAATAAGACATGGCGTTCTCTCAGTAAACCAGAGAACGTGACCATCTGCACTTACATGTATAAGCATGTTTATGGAATAGCACTCTGGCCAAATAACACAATATGATTAATGGCACCAACTCAAAAATTTTTTGGCCTTTTTTCACGAAAAGAAGATCAGTACCTAACGTTATGCCTACTCGTTGCAAGGTAAATGATCACACTTCCGAGTTTTAGCACAAACAATGAATATTTATAGAGTGTTTACAAAAAAATAGGATTTTTGTACTTCATTTTAATTTTCATGACAACAACCATTCTTTTCAAAGGTACCAACAATCATTTAAGTTTCCACTGCTCAAAAACAAAAATATGAGAGTCATGTTGGACACAGGAATGGAACATTTCTGAAGTACTTTATACAATTTAAGTTTGAGACATGATTTCACAAGAATTCACAAACAAGGCTACTTTGTGTGAGTTGCAGGCAACTGCTTAGTATTTAGTCGCAGCCATACAAACACGCTTGATAGCTCAGTACCATCTACTGTAGGATGTGGAGTGGTTCAGTATGGTTGACACTTTTTGCCTTTTTTCATCTCATTTTGCCTGTCAAACATTTCTTTCTTACATAGCCAGCACTGAACTGATATTGTATAAATGTATTTAACTTCCATTAGCAATTAAGACATGCAGCACTGGCCCCCATGCCATCAGCACAAGACCACAGGTTCAAATCCATGCTTAGTTCCTATTGTTCCCTACCCCAAAGGGCACAAAATCACCCGATTACTAAACTGAATGCTAAGATTACATAAACCTTTTTGAAGTTCGCAGCGCATCATGGGCTTCGATGAAAAACAAGCAATGAATTGTATGCACAACCCTATGAGAGAAGTGTACCTGCAAAACTTTAAGCTGTTTTTATTTTATTACATGCACGTATTCCGATTCAAGCCATCCTCTTTTTGCACATTGTCATATAACAGATTGAGATAAAGATATCCACAAACTTTGCATTTTAAAGCTCCAACCAGAAGCAAAACTTAAGGCATCCTCTCCAAGAACTGCACTTTTTGTCTTGGACTAAGGTTCTGAATATTATGGAGCTACTACTGGTCAAACAGAATCACGACTTATGGCTCATTAATCCAGCAGTGAGCAATCATGTTCATTTCTGTCTAGATTGACAGGGCTTGGACAGCTAAACCGTTTGCCGACTCAAATGGGAACACCTCAACTGTTGAGACAACTTGACAGCTGGGCAACTCAACCATCTGTACCTCAAACAGACAGACAAATTGATCACCGAGACAAGTTGATTGAGATTGATAATGAGTGCGCTTGCGCTTTGAAGTCACATTGCCCACATCTTTTCTCCAATTTAAAAATGAGGAAGGACTGGGGGACAGATTTACCATCTCTCATACTGACAGACAAGCTACTGATCATCAGTGCGTTCAAGGCTCCAGTGCACTGTGCCACCATGCATGCTGCATTAATTGCCATCATGGTCATGCACTGTGAGAGCATCTCAGATCGACCAATTAAATGTTGGTTTCAGTGAGGGCACTGTTTATTTGGAAACTCATTTTCTTATATAGGAAATTGTGATTAAAATTCATCTTTTTTGCACACTGTAGCTCCTCTATTTAATTTCCAATTTCAAATTTTAATTTTTTGAAATTTGAAATGAAGCCAGCATTTGATTCATTGAAATAAGGCACAAATACATGTAAGAACAAAAATTTACAAAAATATGCATTTTGAGGTTTTCAGTTAAACTCCACACTCATTTTTGTCTACAAAAGTCACAGTTTGCTCTGCATCACACGTGCAATTATTTCTCAAGACATCCCCCCTTCAAATCGATTTTTCTTTGTGTTGCAAAGTCCAATCAAATCCAAATTTATATCAAATTAGTTACGACATCCTCTCCAAGATCACTTCAAAAATAAGTTACACTACAGAAAAAATGTTCAATGAACATTTTATCCTCCCTACATCATTATGTTAAACTCAAACATGTCATATCCTCACTCTCCATGCACACAACCACCGCAGTGCAAAATAGTTTTTACACTTTTACATGGTGGACTGTACTCTTGTGGAAGAAGAGAAGACATCTCCCAGTGCCCCACTGCCCCCAACAATTACTAGGCCTAGCATTGGGCCCCACCGTAAGCCGTGGTACTACGGCAGTGCTCGAGCCTTCAATGTTGACAAAACAAGATAGCCTACACATTAGGCCTTTAAGGGCCAAACTACAGGACTTTTTGAATACTTAATAATGAAGAGTGTACCTCACCTAAGTTGTGATAAATTGCATGGCCATTTCAAGACGAAATGATGGTGCTTATAATTAGAAAGGACTATGTTTTAAAGTCCATCTCCACTTGTTCCGCAGATGCTGTTGACATCGATCATGTCGATCAAACTCCTCAAAATGGCGGCGAATCGGCGAATCGCAAGTTGTATAGTAATCCGCAAAACATTAAAATCCCTGGGTAGTTAAGCTTATATCAAGTATTTGAAATGAAATTTATTTTTTGCACATTGGAATATTATTGGAATGAATAATGGTGACAAGTTTGATTCCTAGTTCCACATTTCGGTTTTCGTTTCGCTAGTATTGTCCTATGTTTTAAATCCTGCGGAGCGATCGTCTCTCGTAAAGTTATACGGTCATAACAAATCATGCAACGCGGGGCAACGCAAAAGCGTGTCATTTTGATTGGTCAGTCGGTTGCTCTGGTGAGGTCCGCTGAAACGTTTGTCGTCTGCTCCAAATTGAAGCTCAGTTACCCAAATGTACACAAATTATGGATGATTTTTGTTTTGTTTTTAGAAGCATGTTACCGGGAGATTCTGTTTCTAATAAAGAATACTTTTCTATTAGAAAAGCGGCGGAAAACATTTTGGTCATATTGCGGCACTAGCTGATAAACTCGGTGTTTTTTTCCCATAATCCTTTTAATCATGTCTTTTTACAAGCTTTTTGAAGAAAGAGAAATTCCCCTCAATCTTTTTCCTTCTCGGCCGGTAACACTCTCGAAAAATTCAGTTGAGCTTGACTTTTCACTAAGGCAACTAAAACTTAAGGGTCAGAATGTACCTACAATATCACAGCAACGAAAATTTATGTTTTCTTACCTCGTTTGTGAAGGTTTCGGGAATGCATAGTTTTCTAATTTAAAGTGGTCACATTTAAAAACATCGGACCAAACATTACCTGCTTATCGTTCCAGTGACGTTCTCAAAAGGCCACTACACTGCAGCAGGTTCCTAAAATATTCCTATGACTAAATGCTTCATAATCAAAGGCGGATCCAGGCGGGCCGATGGGGGAAGGCCCCCTCCTTCCCCCAAAAGAGAGCTAACTTATTATCATCATTTTTCAAAATAATGAGAACAAAGCGAATTGTTTTAGCCTGAATCATTTTCCATTAGCACATTTAAATGATTGTTCAGGATTCACTTCGACTTCAATACATAAAAGATGAGTCGGTGATTTTTTTTTAAATCGATGGGACCATATATTCAGTATTGGCTTAAATCCAACTAGAGGGCCTCTTTTTCGAGATTTACTAGAACAGCATCAATTGCTCCCAAACTATGCTGCCCGTCCTCTCAACCGCGAATAGTATTTTGTTTGCATAAAACAGTCGTTTGATACTTGATTCTTCGAACATGAAATAGCCACTCCTCAACGTGTACCCATCATGCATCATCCAACATGGCAGCGCAGAGCGACGTGGACGAGTTGTTCGAGATTCGCAATGCTTTTTACTTGGGAAACTTCCAACATTGCATCAGTGAAGCACACAAATTGAAGGTATTAATTTTGGAATTAGAAGGACAGTTGCGACAGTACTTGCTCACTGCCATCAGTGACTAGATGGAGCGGAAAAAAGCTACGAACCAACGCCACAAGTCCGACGTCCGCCTAGCCCCACTACTCACTAGTGTGGCACGGATCACTCCCGGTCTATCCTTAGCCACACATCCGAATACGCAATTTCGTGTCGGCGTATTGAACATTCCGGCGCTCCCACTTATCATCGTGGGCGCAATTTCTTTTGCAAACGAACATGATTCTTGACCTTTCCGCTTTCTAAAAAATATTTATTGAATGATTTCACTCACATTATTCAGGTATTTTCCAGTCTTTTTGCCTTTATCCATTCAATCTAACGGGCTCGCTCTCTCAGTCGCCATCTTTAAAATAAGGTCGTTGAGCATTACGTCACTTGACCCCTCATCGTCTCGACGGCTGTTCCATGTCAAGATACCTAAACTGCTGCCAAAGTTTTGGGAGAGCCCATTGGTACACTCTTAACCACATGTAGTATCCATCTTATCGCTCAGTCCATGTATTACATATGTCTTGACATGGAACAGTTTTTAGAAAGCGGAAAGGTCAAGAATCATGTTCGTGTGCAAAAGAAATTGCGCCCAGGATGATAAGTGGGTGCGCCGGAATGTTCAATACACTGACACAAAATTGCGTACACGGATGTGTGGGTAAGGATGGATCGGGAGTGAGAGTCCGTGCCACACTAGTGGGGCTAACGTCCGCCCTGCTCCCACTGCCGTTCGCTGGTTGATAACGTTGCGTGGGAGCGGACGCCGGACATCGGATCCCAGTTCTGGGAATTGTAAATTTGGGGACTGTTCCTATAATAGGAGGGAGAGGTACATCTGACTGTGTCATCATGCACAAAATCTGTAGGCTTAATGTCAAAAAAGGGCAGGGTTTTTAGGGAAATTATGAGTCAATATGAGGGAAAAACTGTGTTATGACACATGCAGCATGGTGGACTCGAATTTGCATAGCAAGTTTATCAGTAAAAAAGTCACATTTTCTCACAATTTACAATTTCATTTTCCAAAATATAGGGTCAGTGCAGTAAAGAGAGTATTGCCTTTGTTTTTGGGGGAAACTTAACAGTTTTGTAAGATTGAAATGACAAAACATTTGGCAGTAGCAAAAAGTTACGAATCAGAAGCGATTGATGTCCAGGAATTTGTATATTCACAAAGATCTTCAGGATTAATACTCCCGTGTTAGTAGGAATCTGTGAACTTTCATTGTCAACGAAATCTGTAATTATTGGAAAAGTTTAGGAAACTTGGAGCACAACCATAAAACAGTGCTGAAATAAAGAATCTGCTCCTGCTGATTTTCTGCTGGATTGTTCTGCCAATCTTTTTCCTATATGATCCAAGAAGTTGGTTTTAGCATATATTACTCAAACTAGTATTGGAAATTACCTAGTACAACTGAAGAATGGTAGGCTGATTAGTATAATTATAATTGGCATGAATTGATAATATTATAAAGATTACAAATTACACTGGATGTTCTGTTTGCTTTTTGGTTTTTAGCCCTCAACATCAGATCTCAAGGTAATGCGAGATGTCTTCATGTACAGGGCTTACATTGCTGGGGTAAGAAACTTCCTTACTTTGTTGTCAAAAGTCTTTGGCCATTCAATCTGATCTGATTTTATTGTACTAACGGTGCATTTTTATGAACCTTTTTGTGTAGATAAAGCTTAGCTTTGTCCTCGTTTTTTTTGAGTTAACCCCCTCCCCATTCCTTTAAAATCCATGCAGAGGCTTTTGAAGAGTTTGAAGGGTTTAGAGACAAGCCACGTGTTCTTTTATCGAGGCTTAATTTCTCTTGAAAATTACAGTACCCAAAAAAGTGCCTTGGGCTCCCTGAAGTGTAGAGGGATTACGATACTCTAGAAGGTTTCATGCAAAACAAGTAGCTATGTGTCCTGTTTCATTGAAAGAAAAATGAAGGTGGATGGGTACATGTAGGTGGGCAAACTGATTTTCTATTCCAAATTTTCAGGCAAAAAGTATTAACTTGAGATAGTGGCCAGTTTTACTAGGCTCACCTGTAAACATTTTCAAGTGACAACTGTCAGATTTCAACTGTTTATGTTAAATGGTGGAAGAAGACGTGAATGAAAAGTAGCAGGTTTCACAAAAGATCAAGCCATTTTTTAAGCTGGATGTTTTAAAAATTAATTATGTACATAAAATGCTTTAATATCCTGGATGTTACCTTACGTTTTTATACATTTTTAACACAAACAATACGTGCGATTTAAGGTTGGATCAGGTAATTGGAAACGTACTCATATATTTTTGCTTGGCCTAAAGTACATGTCTGTTCCAACATTCAGAACAGGATCATCTGTGTCATGTACTGTGTATTTGTGACATGCACCTGTGCCTGGGGTAGCATACCTGTATTTGTCCCATGGGAGGACAAAAATGTCACATAGAATCCCCTTTGTGACTTCTTCCTCTGTCTCCAACAGCGTAACTATGGCGTTGTGTTGGATGAGGTGAAATCTTCCTCGGCTCCTGAGCTGCAGGCAGTGAAGATGTTTGCTGACTACATGGCCTCGGCAAACAAAAGGTACTATTCAAATTTGAAATCTACTTTATCTATTTCAGAAAAGAGATGGAACAAAGGGAATTGCCTTTGGTTTGGAAACTCAGAGATTAGAGCAATGCTGTACTTCGAATGTCTAGTTTCTAATGTAAGTTTGAGAAGGCTTCTTTTTTTTCAAAATTCAAGAACATATGTAATGCAAAACTGCTACAAACTGCTTGCTGACTATAGTGACCTAAAATGCAAATCACAAAATGTAGAGGGCCTCATGTTTCGATCCTCGCATAATCTTGCTCAAGGCAACAAGTTTTTCAAAATTCTTCTGGAACTGTTTAGCTTTATTCACTTGATTCAAGAACATGCATGCCCAAGTACAAATTTTTTCTAATGGCTGAAACAGTTATTTGGATTACTGTAGGGCTGAGTCAATTCAAATAATTTACTATTCGAATATTCAACCTTAAATTTGATCAAATATATCCGAATATTCGGTCACACAGACCAGTAGATTGTTTATGAACAAACCATACGCATAATCAGTTACAATAACGCACACAGTACGCACATTATAATCAATATAATTGGTTAATTTTTGCTTGTACAGAGAAAAGATTCTTGCTGATCTCGACAAGAAGATGAGCTCTAGCTTGGACGTCAACAATGACACATTCCTTCTGATGGCAGCATCCATCTACTATCATGAAGAGGTGGGAAAGACTGCTTGACAGCATGTTGTAGGGTCAAAGGTCTGTCATGATTATCCATTGGAGCACATTCATCTAATGGTCAAAGGAGTTTATTGCTAAAAGAGGTGGGAAAAGTGACCAACATGATGAGGAATTATATGCATGTTGGCCTTTGGGTGAAAGTTCTAATTCAGTTTGACAGAAAGTTCTGCTTGCCCGGCTGTTTGCTCGGGAAAATCATCAACTTGAAAGAATTGCAGTGAAGCAGGAGTCCCTCGCACTTTTTTTCCCCAGAACTTTGATGCTGCCTTGAGGTGCCTCCACCAGTCTGAGTCTCTTGAATGGTGAGTTTGTCACTCTTTAGGATGCCAGTCTATAAAATGTCAGCGTCTCAAATTGAGTACACATTCCGTCTCTTTTGGAAGCCACACTGTGACTGTAGTTATTGTCAACAAAGGAAGCATTTGTCGGAGCTTAGCTGTGCCCACTTCAGACAGGCTAGTTCATTTGCTTGTTCCAGTAAACTTTCAAAACCAGAAGTTCCTCATTAAGCTAGAGCCAAGAGTAGCGCTGAAGGAGTTGCAGCATTACATGTATATCCAGCTTCTTATCAGTGCTGTCCAAATGACTGATCTTTTGAAACAAGCAAAAGTTGCACATTGAGGAATCGAGAGTGATATTCAAAATGATTGTAACTTGCCACCAACAAACGGGTTCCTCCCCCCTCCATATTCCAGCCTAGCCCTGACCATTCAGACCTGCCTCAGGATAGATAGAGTTGACCTCGCCAAGAAGGAACTCAAGAAGATGCAGGAGAAGGATGACGATGCCACACTGACGCAGATGGCCCAGGCATGGTTCAACCTGGCTGTGGTGAGTGTGTTGGTTCAACGTTAGCCATTGCAATTGAATTAAGGTGCTCGGGATACTGGTGTAAAAGTGGCTTGTGAGTGAGTACCAAAATACCTATTACCTTTGACATGAAATTGACAGGACAGTAAGTTCTTGAGGTTGTTATGACAGATTATGGGACAATGTTCATGATTCTTTACCCTTGTCAAATCTCGGCTGTGTCTGAGATTTATGTCTTTGTTTCAACTTCCACAATCGGCTCTACTGCTGTAATGAGATCAAAGTATTCAGATTGGCCTCTCATCAGCGAGTTTGTGTAGCAGAAAATGACGTCCAGTTTGGCCTGAAGATTTAACCTTTAGGCGATCAAATTAGTGCAGTTTAAGCATGAAACCAAAGAAAAGAGATGAAGTGGAATCTGTGTTCTTTGATACCCTTTCAAGGGAGGTGAGAAGCTTCAAGATGCATTCTACATCTTCCAAGAGCTTGCCGATAAAAATGCCAGTACGCCACTTCTCCTGAACGGCCAGGCAACTGCATACCTGCAGCAGGGCAAGATAGAAGACGCAGAAAGTATACTGCAGGAAGCTTTAGAAAAGGTGAGTGAATGCTACCCGCAGTGCAGCCGTTAGCCCTCAACCCAACCCCCCCTCCCTTGCAGTGGTAGGGCTAGAAGTCAGGCGTGTCAGAGAAGCCAGCAACAGTGGTCAAAATTTGGAAACTTGCCACAAGATTCAAGAGATCAGCTGTCTCGTGGCCAGATGGACTCGGAGTCTGAGGATGTCCACCACCACTGGATCCAAGTGTTTGACCGAGCTCCCGTTGTCTTACATGTTTATGCTGATGCCATTGACTGGCCAATAGTAGAGGTTATTCACATGTCATAACATGACGGGCAAAAGCATTTCAAGAAGTGTACCATGTCCATGGAGGTGCGGGCATTTTTTAATCTGGGTATTTCTGTTAGCAATCTCATGTATACCAGAATGTTGAGAGACTTAGAAGGCGTGTGCACTTTAAATTGAACACTGACCGTCAAAAATCATTTGAGTGAAAATCCTCTATACAAGGTTGCGCATAGTAGTTCTACATCTTGTTCTCTTCGTCCGGGTTGGAGTCGTAATACACCTAGATAACATTGTCTGTGTCTGGTGATGCTTTTAACCTCTCATCCCTTTCAAAACGGAGGTAGCCAATAAAAGCTTTGCACAAATTGCTTTTGGACCAGTAAATTGTGCAAGATTTAAAGGCCTTCGAAAGTAATGATATTGTGGGAATAAACCAGATGAACGCAAAAATTTCTGGAGCCTTTCCTCAAGAGAATTCTTAGGTGAAATTGAGAACGCCCCGCTGCATTAGATGGAAAGCCTAAAAATTGTAATAACGGTCTGTACAAGTGTAAAGTGGTGACTGCCACTCCCAATGGAATTTTGTTATTATCCTTACACCTGTTGCAACAGTTTTACTTCCGAAAGGCTGCCAGGCTCTTTAGCTGTAATATCTACTCACCTAGCATGGAAACAATTCTGAATGTCTTTTATTTGGACACTTTCATCCTTGTAGGATAGCAACAACCCAGAAAGTCTTATCAACATGATTGTCCTGTCCCAACATCTTGGCAAGGCGCCAGAGGTAAGCCATTACCTAGTCCAGCTCTGTGTCCAGGCCAAAAACATGAGTATTCCAGTTAAAAACCCTCACTCCCTAGGGGGTTCCCCAGGCCTTTGCTGCTAAATCCAACCAAGTTCAACGGTGACTCATTTTAGTTTCCTGCTCCATCCAGCGGAGTGCAACCTTGGGAGTTGCTGGGGAATTAAACAAAACAAAATACTTACCTGCTCAATCCAACAGGATCCAACAGAATCCAACCGTGTCGCACAGTGCAGTTGCCGGCTGAACCCAACAGGATGTAACTGCCCATGTTATTAGTTATCTGCTGAGTCCAACAGAGTCCAACTTGGCAGGACTTTGTTGTTTACTGAGTCTAATAGACATCAACTGTCTCACACGTGTCTGTTACTGTTTCTATTCTATATCTTTTTTGTTTCTTTCTTTTACTTTATCTTTTCTTTTTTGTGTTTTTATTTTTGTCTTTATCTTTTCTTTGTCTTTTTCTTTTCTTGGTTTTGTTTGTTGATAATCCCCAGCATTGTGTACCAGTAATCAAAACAAGGCACAACAGGGAATCCAACGGGGTCCACCTGCATGCATGTTCCCATTCAGTTGCCTGCTGAATCCCACCAGATCCAACTGTGTACACATTCTGTTACCTGCTGAATCCAACTGGATCTAACATGAAAATGTACAAGCCTTTACTGCTGAATCCAACAGGCTCCATCGGCAGTGTGGAATGGTTGGAACCTGTTGGATTCAGCAGGGTTAGGGATAAATTATCAAGCTAAAATCTTCTGCCCATTTATTTCACAAGTTCAACCAGACAGCATATAATGTTTTGTACACTAACAAGAAGGTGAACTGTCTGTGGAGGCAAAGTGTGTTGAGCTTGAACTCCTGGACCCTAGAGTCAGTACTGTAGTAGAGTACTTTTCCATGAGTACAAGTACTTTCCCATGAGTACAAGTACTTTTCCATGAGTACAAGTACTTTTCCATGAGTACAAGTACTTTTCCATGAGTTCAAATACTTTTCCGTGAGTACGAGTATGAGTACATTGGTTTGAGTAGGAGGAATTTTTTCTTGAGAGTTTGAGTATATTTTCATGAGTATGAGTATAGAGAAGAAGTACTCTAAGTACATGAGTACAAGTTCTACAAGCAGAAAATAAGCGAGTTATTGTGATGGTAGCACACAGGCAAGTAGAATGAACAATGTGCGAACTGTTTTGGCTAATGGCCACATTTTTAATTCATCGTATGTGCATTAGTACTGTAAGCAGAACACATGGGTGTTAGGAAGTTTTGTTTTTACTTGACAGGGCTATCAGGTTATGACCTCATTGTTGATACCATGAAATCCCCGGATGTGGCTTTTCTTTATGTTAGTTATGGAGCTAAATCAACTGGATGCTGCCTTCACTGAAAGCCCTGACTAGGTGCTCGAGTATAGGTACTTTTCCACTTTGGTACGAGTACAAGGAAACTTCTTGAGAGTACGAGTACATTTTCATGAGTACGAGTACAGTAAAAAGTACTCGTGCACGAGTACTACAACACTACCTAGGATATTGCAAAATATAAAGTTTGGTTTAGAATTATGGTGCAAATATTGTTCAAATGACCCTGTCAAGTCAGTGTAAGTGGCATTTGTTTGCATGTAACAGAAGTTGGCTGCTGTGTTGCCTGCCTTTTTTTGAAAGTTGAAATTTTTGGCCGAAATAATATGTAACGGCAACGGCAAAGAGTGAAGTGCGTTTACACTTCTTGTGTTGACGTACACGGTTCACCTGTGCATATTGGAAAACACATACCAGGGAAGATGGAATTGTGCCCAGCAACAAAAGCCAAGGCGACCAGCTCCAAGGCGTGGGGTGGGGATTAGTCAAGAAGTGAGAGTTCTTATCTTGTTAGCTCAGGTGTAGTCTTATCACGATGAGGCTCCTTGCATGCAAGATGTGCTCCTGGTTGACAGTGATGTGTGGCATGGTGCGGTCTTTAGGGGTACTTAGGCACGGAATCTGTGTGCCTTTCATGCTGGTAAATCAACCTTTTTTTTTTTTTTATCTTGCTAACCGCCAGCATCTCCATGATGATTGATCAGATTTCACTGCACTTTAGTCTTGGGTAGGAGGACGTTAGCATTCAAGGGATGATGTGATCAATGAAATATGTGGCACATTAGGCTTGGGCACAATTTTGAAATGGTGAATGCTGCAAAAGTTGCTTAACTTGTAGCCAATGAATTCTGACCGTTGCTAATATGATACTTGAAGCAAATTGGATGTCATAAAACCTTCACGGCCAGATTCCTCAAAATGAGTCTGAAGCCATTTTTTCTTAGTGATCTGGTTGTTGTTTTCATCAAGAACACCAAAGTGGACTCTTTGTTTGGATGCATCACTCAAGTTAGCATCCTCATAAAAACGGACGTTATGTGGTTGAAAAATTGTCGAGGTCTCCTATATGTTAACTTTGTAAAGGATTCTTTCAAAGGCCTTTAATTCAAAAGTATCCCTGGCAACTAGATGTTCATTTACATTTTATGATCCAACTTTTGTGATTGAGCTGCGTGTGTGCAAATGCCATGACATTGCAAGTTTGCCATTAGCAGCAAATGCAGTTTTTATTTGCCATTTAACGTGTCTCAAGTGTATCTACTCTTGGTTGATATTTATCATTGCACAATGCACAGTTTTTTTTAACTCCTGCAGTTTTGTCATGCGCTGAACGTTTTCAGTCTCTCTGTGCTCTTTACTTGCCCAGGTCAGCAACAGATATATCTCCCAATTGAAGGATTCCCATGCGAGTCACCCATTCCTTAAGGATTACCTTGCTAAGGTTAGTTTCCCATAGTTCCTCCTTACTCTCCTTAGAATATTTAAATCTGATCATGTAATTCAAGAAGTATTCAAGAAGAAAAGTGAAAAGCCCCATTTTGGGAGCAAGAGGGTTTTTTTTTACCAAGTAACAATTTCCCTGGGCTGAGACAAAGCATGCTTCTGCATGCATTAACATGTCTGGAGCAGAGTTTGCACAAGTCAGTTACAGATCTGCCCCCCCCCCTGCCTCTTCCCTTCAGCAAATGGCTACTGTTAAAATCCCAGTAAAGTTAGACCCAGATAATAATGAAATACTGTAATGTCCAAGTTTATTCTTTCTGTGTTAAGAATACTGAAAAAAAAAGCATCCAAGATCCTTCTCTTTTCCAGGAGGCCTATCCCAGAGCCCCCTTCCCAGCAGGCATAATTCAGAGCCCCCCTCCCAGCAGGCATAATTCAAAGCCCCCTTCCCAGCAGGCATAACTCAGAGCCCCCTTCCC